GGCATTGGTGATGGCCTATGGGGGCTCACTTTCTATTGGTCAGTGGTTGGCAGGGTCAGGGCTGCTCACTGGGGAATCTTCCGCCTGGAGTCCTGACTGATGCCTGGAAGAACCTTCCCTCTGGGGGAGGTAAAGGAGAGGCTAGGTGGGGTTTTATTATTATAGTCTGCAGCATGGTTTCAAAGGATTTCTCCACATTTTAAAAAGCTGTAGTCAGGGTCTAAGGCTTTTCTAAGGAGATATTTCTGGTTTTCTGTCTCCTTTGCATACCATTTTTACCCTTTTGTTAGGCAGGTTTGTTTGCCTGCCTATGGGTGAAATGGCAGGTAACTACGGACTGGGGGCATCTCACCTCCAACTCTACATCACCTATCTGATGAGCAATCAATAGCTATAAAATTGTATAGGCAAATCATGCAACCATTGGCAAAAGCTAGACACTGCTGGCTAGAGGAAGCCCTACTTTTAGGGACCAGCATATGTGATTTTCTGAATTGTAGCTGAAAGGTTCAGGTGGTATCTCAAAGCTGGCCTGTTGACACACAACTGAACAAAAGAGCAATTTATTCATTCCTCCTCATCCCCAGAACAACACCCCACCCTCCCTCCATCTCTGACATTCCCCCCACCTTTTGAACATCTTTCGACTTTGATATGCAGAGGGACAAGTTGCACCATTGTAATGATAGCGTTGCAGCCTATTAGAAAATGCTCTGTTATGTGCAACCCTTCAATGGACTAATCTATAAAAGGACACCCAAGGAATGCTCAGGCACACCGTACTGGAATGATTTGTTGGCAGCCATTTGTTCTTGAGAACAAACTTCAAAAATTTTCACCCTGTTGTGTAATTTTGGACTACGCACATCAGGTCATGAACCCCATTTGGGCAATGTATCTTTTGCCCCAGCTGCCGCTTTTTGGCTTTTTCCAGAATTATAGTGGTAGTCAAACCACTGGTAAATTTCAGCAGCCAAAAATAAAAAATTCATCAACCATTGCAATTTATTACTGAAACTCAGAAGTAAACCTTTTATTTTATTGCTACTAAAACTCAGGGTTTATATCAGGGGTGCAGCTTGGGGAAGAAATTCAGTGTGTTAGAGGTAGCCTCCAGTCTCCCGAAATTTGTCTTCCCTTGCAATATAGACATTCACTCATCACCCCTGGAGCTGTTTGTAGCTGTTCACTAAGTTGAGCTGAAATCAGTTCCCGGGATGCTTTTTGGATGTAATATGTAACAAATTTCAAGCAAATGTCAATGTACTTATTTTCTTTCATGATACTATATTTCCTGATATTAAGATACATATATATAAAATGATAATGTCTGAATATTCTGAATTTTCCTGTTGTAGTGGTGAATATTAATACATTGGTTGGAAACTGGCATAATACACTGAGTGCCCACAAGTTTTCTTCATAATTTAAAGCAATTTTAGAAAAATTATAAAATTCTGAAAAATTCACTGCATTGGATTGACCATGGAAATGACCCAGTTCTTTAGAGACCAGGAGAAAGAAATATTAACACTGTATAAACATAGCTCTGCCATTATTCAGGGTTGGGAGCGCTTGCAGAAATAGAATTCAAATAGCCCCTGTAGTTGTTTGGTTTCACAAAATGTGAGTTTACACTCCCGCTGAGCTATTTTCCTTAGCTTGGCTAGCTCAGGGATGATAAATAGCAAGTTATCATTGCTATCACAGATTCTGCACATTTGTGTCTTGTAACTTGTGGTTTTCCCTCTCTTGGCACTAGCTGCATTTTTAAAGGAAGGTGGGCAAGGTTTCTCTTCACAGAGCTCTCTTACTCGTGAGAGGCAAAATGGAACTTGGTCATGGGAACCAGAGCCAGACGATATGAAACTTGCCCATGGTGCCTTCCATGCGCTTGTACCTCCAGTGCATGCTCACTCACTCCCACTGCTCCATGTGAGCAACAATCTATTGCCCAGGCAGACAAAACTTGTCAGCTGTAGCTGTTTGTATCACAGAAGGAATCGGAGGATGTGGCCATCAAACTCTCATAATTCTTACCTGAGTGAAAGATGTGTTCGTGCCACATAGGTTCAAAATTCTGATAAAGGAATGGTGAACTACTACTGAAACTCTAAAGTGGCACTTCTGAGGACTCCTACCTGGAAGTGCTTTTACTGACAACACTGGGACTTACTTCTGAGTATGCATCCTTGGGATCATCCTGCAAAGAATGATCCAAAAGAGACTATAATAACATTACCTTGTACTGAGATAAAATCAGTATTGTGTATTACACAGAGTCTTAGGTGTCCCTCATCAAAACGTAGGTTCAGGTTCTGCTCATCTACTTTTTTTCAAATCTTGTAAAATTTATTTTCAGAAAATACAATAAAAAGAAGTATATAGGAAAGAAGGTGCCAAGGGTCATTCCAAAAATTTTGGCATACAGTATTAACATTTAAACACATTTATAATTAAGTGAAAATCTCTATCAACCATCTTCCCATTCAAGCCATTCAATTCTCAATTAGAAATTTGTCCAGCCTATAAAATTAGTTAGAAATTATAACTGCTTTGATTTAGAATGGTAATCACAGACATTTGTAAAAACTATAATTTCTTTAATAATTATTTAAATTGCTCATAATAGGCCTTCCATCTTTCAGTGAATTCTTTAACTGTTCTTCTGTTGATATAATTAACTTTGCCATTGTTACATACTCTGCAAGCTTGTTGTTCCAATCTTTGACAGCTGGACAATCTTCAGCTTTCTACTTGGAAGCAATTATTACTCTTGCCGCTGTTCTCATATATTTGAATAACTATCTTAATCTTTGGGATAGTCTCTGGCACAATACTCAATAACTTATTCTTGGCATTCATTGTAAAATATTTTCTGAATCCCCGCATGTATCTGCTTCCACAATCTTTTAATTCTATCGTATGTCCACCATATTTAGTAAAATGTCCCATCTATCTCTTTACATTTGCAACATTTTTCATTATAGTTCTTATCCATTTTCTGTATATCTTTCAAGGTAATATGCTGTCAAAGTTCTGCTCATCAACTCAGTGAATCCCACCCTTACTATCCTTACATGGACATGATGATAAAATCACATAAAATATATTGTATCTTGTTCTGAGGATAGGGTGCAAAAGAAACTAATGGATTCTCAAGTAACTTTATTTTATAAAAAGGCAAATGTCTCAATAACAGATAGACAGTTTAAATGCATAAGCTTCTCTATATGTTGAAAAATGCTCCCTTCAATATGATGGTTGTTTCAAACTCTCACAACCAGAAAACCAATATGTCAATACACTCGTTCATTTTATCTTGTGTGTACATTTTATAGTTATATAGTGCTTGAGCTAAATAAAGCTGGAATTCTTTTTTCATATTTCACCATGACAATGGTCACAGGCTCGAAAAGATGCTTCCTCTGTACTCAAGAGTTTATGTACAAATACTGAGTTACTTAGTTTTTTTCCTTAGATTATTAAGCTGCCCACCTTCTCACCCAGATCAAGTCATAACACAAGCTGATTCGAAAACTATCTTGAATAGCAATGGTAGTTTGCCAGTATGAAAGCTGTTGCAAGAGACAGTACAAACGCTATACCCTGTTTGTACTGGAGAAGGTTAGTTTGATTTGACAAGACAAGAAACAGCAATTAATGATTTCCACTTTCCTGTTAGGGTAGGCAATAACCAAGGTGTCAGCCCATTCAAAATGTATTCGTCTAGCACTGGTATTTATCTTCCTAATGTGCACTACCCCACCAATTTACTTTTTCTTTATTTTGGTGAATTTTGAATCCTTTACCAACAGTTACAGAACACTGTCTTAAGCTGACAGAACTGTAATCATTGTTTTTAAAAGTTAGAACATTTTAAGATGGCATTGGTTCAGGTTTATTGTTTGAAAACAAAAAATAAAAAATGTGAAGCTTCACATAGCTTAACATAGCCTTGCTTAACCTTGTTTAACATAGCTTAAAATAGACTTGGGGTATATTGATTCTTGCTCATATGTGTTACTTACTTAAGCAATTTGTGTGTTAGTGGTTATATTCTGTTGTGATACATTGTGTGTGTGCAGGGGGAGGTATGTTTTACTGTGAGCTTGAATCTGCAAATTTAGTACCATATAGTATCCCAGGGTTTTTACATGTCTGCCCTCACCAAACCATCTCCTGCTTCTTGCCACAATACATAAAAAAAATGATGGAATGTATGTATGCATGCATGCATGCATGCATGCAACTTACAATGTTTGCACACCACTCCATGGCTAGGCAGAGCAGTGAATTCATACATGAAGACTTAGCACCATGTACAATTGGATCTGATTTAGGCCTTGTGAAAATAACCCTTGTGGCAGGGGCACATGTGTGTTGCCTCTGCTTCCCTTCATACATGCAATTCTGTGCACTGCACATGCTCATTGAAGACAGCACCCAGCTTAGTAGGTGCTCACTGGAAATAGGCATCAGTGGGCGCAACGGTTGTAGTCAGACCTCTCCCTTTTGAAGGTGTAAATACTGAACTCAGTATATATGGTTGCACTTAATACATGTTCATAGTCTGCTCAGACATACCCCTGAACATGTCTGTCAGTCATAATACTTTAGCGCCTGGTTTTTTACTCAAATAAGACCAGAGTGTAAACAAGTTCTAAGTGGGAAGTTTTACAGTAAAAATGGCACCTTTAATGTAATAAAAATACAGCATTTAAAAAAAATCAGTGCTAACAAAAGTGCTTAAATACTAATAGCCCCAGAGTCCTTCACATTTTTACAATGCAATTAATAATAGGGATTAAAAGGGTCCTTATTAAAGAATTGTCTATGGTTATGCATCCTATGGTCATATATTTGAATATTATACTATTTGGTTTAGCCTGCTCTTCTCTAATCCAAACCCTTGGTCATTTCCAATATGCTTTCTAGTGCTTCAAAGTAGGCCACATAATCCGTATATCCTAATCTTTATTTTTACTTCAGTTTCTACCAAAGTTTCTACTCATTCTAATCTTCATCTGAAGGAATGGAGTTGTGTGTGTCCTAGATAGTAATTTAAACTTAGGGAGTTATGCAGATATAAAATTCTCAGGGTCAGCTGAGGGTTCTGCCCAGTTCCAATCCACATGTGCTAACAACAAACAGATGAGTTCAATGTGCACTACTGGAAGCCAGCCAAATCCTACATGCAAGGTAACATGTTAAAATAATAATTCTTTCCCCAGATACCAAGTGTTAGTGGCAGGTGGGGGGGTCACTTGCTGGGAGTCACTGGAAATTGGGGGTTCTCTCTATGGAGATCAAAAAGCAACCACAAACAGCTGAGGAAGATTCTGTCCTAGACGCCCAGGCTTCTCCTTTTTCTTCGACTGACATATGCTGGCTCACCTAAGAGAGATGAGATAAAGAAAGGGTTATTTTATAAGGAAGCAGCATGCTGGGTCACTGCCCAGCCACAAAAGACATACTGCGCTTGTTCACTGAACTACTCATGGTACACCTTACAGGCCACAGGGCTCTCCCACTCCTCCTTCTCAGTCCTCTAGTTGGCTGCAGTGTCCCTTGAGGCTGAACTAGCTTGTCTCCTACTCCTTACTCCAACTGCTAGCCCTTTTCATTCCCCACTGGGTTTTCTGTTTCCTTGCCAGAGCCTGAAAAAGTGCACCTTTCTGGGGGCTGTGAAAATCTAGAGCTTTCCTCCCCAGAGCTGCTACTGTGGGTCCTCAACTGTTCGCAACCATACACAGAATATATACACATTTAATGTCTGGGAACTAACAGAGCAGTTTATGTTTGCAGGTACCAATTTTCCTTCTATTTCTTCCCACCCATTAAATTTGCATACTCTCTGTGGCATTTGTTTCTAAAAGTTTCAGGGAACTACAACTGTAACTGTTCTAAAAGGGGCTGCAAAATGGGGGCAGATTTAATATCTCCCCTTGTTGGAGCAGCTGGACTGTTGGGAAAGGGTTGAAAAGGTGGAGGATGCTGCCAGGTGTCTGATCACACCTGAAAACTCAGAGTAGTATATCACTGTGGAGGAAAGATAGTCTCCCCTAATTCTTGGTGCCCTTAATCCTTTGGCTTCCTCCGCCCGCGCGCGCGCATGCGCGCGCACACACACACACACACACACACACACAGAGCGACTGTTTTAGAACTGTGTGCAAATTAGCTAACCGACAACTCCATCTGGTCAATATTCATATCAGATAAGAGAGCACTTCTGCATAATAGAAGAAATTATGGCTCTGATCATATCTTTCTAAGGCCCACGCATGCTGAGGAAACTAGGTGCAGTCCATCCAAAGTGCCTGTTTCAGCCTCAAAGGAACAGCAGTCACTGGCAAAATCATGAAAAGCAAGCAGTACAGATTTTTTGCTGCTCTTACCAAGCAGCTCTGTAGCAACACATGATGAAATTGGTCTCCCAGGTTCAATTGATGTGACAACCCATTGTGGGCAAGAACCACGCTTCAACAAGCTTTCCCTGGGTGACTTGTTCCTGAAAAATAAGCCACCCCAGAGAAAACACTCTGGGTTCAGACAACAAGAATATGAACCCTGCTTGGCTGGACATCATGGGCTAAGGTGCTGTGCAGGTCAGTAACTGTATTTTCTCTAATGTCACAGAAAATCCAAATGTTTAACTGTCACTTTAACAGTCTGATCACCATTTCCAACTGGAAGTATTGCACATGAACATACTTATGATGTCTACAGGCAACATCAGGATGGCTCCGTAGGCACTGTTCATGAATCACCACTAAAAAAGCAGACAGAGATCTGCAAAATGTTTGCACGTGCTTATTTGCATGCATAGATGCAATTGTGGAAATAACTAGATATAATATGAACAGACTAGTGACCCTGTGATACTTGCTCAGCAGCTGACCAGGTGCTTATTGTTGACCGGCAACTTCAAGGCTCCTGTTCACCTTCTCTTCTTTTGGGTCTTTATCTTTTCAGAGGATTGGGCTGGACAGCCTTCCTGAAAAGGATGTCCTCTAATAGAGGACTGTTCCCTATCCACCCGAGCCCCTACCCCTGTTGCTCAATTCCAGGAAATGGAATCGACAATATTCTCCTTTCATGGCAGAAGTACTAGATCTTTGTTCTGACACACTGATGGGTCTCTGAAGGAGAGAATGACATCCACAAGGATGGTCATACAGAAGCCATGGAGATTGGAACCATAATGACAGTTGACTCCTCATGCTTGGGACTATGCCCTGGAGATGGTAGAAGTTATAAAGGACTCCACTTTAATTTAGAAAAAAGTATAGGTACCTTTCTCACCCTTTTCACCCCTTGGTCCTCTTGGGCCTTGGCGGCCTGGGGGGCCCATTGGTCCAGTATCACCTGGAAAAGTGGAGAGAATTCAAAATTTCCCATAATTATCTGGCTGTAATTTGAAAACATTTGAGCACAAAGCAGGTCTCTTTTCAGAAGAGACCATCTTTCAGCAAGCAAGGAAAAAAAAAGGCAAGTGGTCAGGCAAAAAGGCATTTTGCTTCTTTGGCTTCCCTTTGTGCAGGTGCAGGCATGAAGGGTGAAGAAATCTGGTGCGAAGGTTTAACCTCCCACCCCCCACCTCATCATGTTGAAGAGCAAAAGAAAAAGAGTCAGCATCACCTGCGTGCTACACATTAAATGTAGTGACACAAGACACAAGAGGGAAGCAATCGGGATGTTTGGGAGTACGCCACCCAAACACCCCAGTGGAGAATAAGCATGCTCAGTAGCCACGGAATGGCGAGGTCAGTTGGAAAAGAAAAACAGAATATGGAGAAGGGGCACGTGATGTGGAGTGTCCTGGAGGAGGATGTGGCTGACCGGCTTGCAGCATTAACAGGTGGACTCCTTTTGAGAGGTGAAGTTACACTGCAACATTTGGGTCTCCTTTCAGTGGGAGCAAAAAAACCAGACAGAAGATAGGCAGTCTATTATTGTAGGTATTATATCTTGGAATGCCATCTGACCCATCCTTGGATTTTTTTTGTGTGAAAAGAAGCAAATATGGAAGAAGCATAAGGAATGTGCAGGAGTGTTTCGACTGGAAGACAATGTCATCTAGCCCTGCTAGTGGTTGCATAATGAAAGCTCCATATAGAAACATCCCTGAACTCTTGAGCTTTGGCATGTGCAGTAACCACAATTCTTACCTTTGGGTCCTGGGAATCCCATCTCTCCTTTCTGTCCAGGTGGTCCTGGAATAGTTCCATAAGCTGCAGAAAACAAATTACATCATGTAATTGCAACAGCTGCTTCTTTTTCTTATTTGCAAGTACAAGTAGCAATGTGGCTGCAAATGAGCGTTCTAAAGGCAGACTGATGGCCTTAATTAAGCACTCTGTACTTTCACCCTTTCTTCATGGATTCATGATGCCCTGTCAAGGCAAGACATAATGAAAAGATATCTGAAGGAATGTGTCTCCTTCTTTTAAAGGGGCAGTAGACCGGTTCTTCAGAAGGCCACAGTGGTGCCTTGGGCTCTGTGTCCCATGCCCCCCACCTCCAGAAAGTGGCAGCTTCCATTTTACTCCTGCAAGCATGCCAGTGCAAGGATGTGACTTTACTGCACAGATTAAAATCAGGATTAGCCAACAGTGGTTGCTGTTATAATGAATCGGGAATGTGCACACAGTTTCAAGGCATGGGATGGCACCAGAAGGAGAAAGAAAGAGAAATGTCAGTTGGGCGTTGCATGCCTGAAATGCACATGGGTCTCTAAAGGGGGCCCTGAGTCCAAGGTCTAAAATTACCTAGCTGTACCACTGCAAAGCCTCCTTCTCCCATCCACAGCCAAACTATTCTCTGCCCAACAAAGAAAGAGGTATGCGGTGAGTCAATGAGCTTCAGGATCAGCTACTTACTTCTGAAGAAATCCATGAGGTCTGCAGTGACATTGCCATAGGCTGCAAACACCCTGCTGATGCCTGGGATGCCAGGAGGCCCTGGGGGCCCTGGAGGTCCTTGCACAGCATATGCTAACATGTCCTGAAGGAGCCCTCGACCTGGGAAGTTTAAATACAAAAGGCATTCACAAAAGAACTAGAAGACGTCTACCCCCAACCCACCTGAATTGCACATTCTATCCTGGTGGTTTAAATTACCTGCTGTACATAGAGAAATGTCATTGCATAAAGACTTGGTGTAAAGAAGCATCTTTTTTCTGTGTGGTTGTGGCATTTCCCTATACTGTTTGTTTAAAGAATGATTAAAGCTCTATGGAATCTAGAAAAAGACTCAGCACAAAGCTGATACTCTCTGTGCTTGCTAATTAGGTACTTAATCTAGGACATGAGTCTGATGTAATGTTTGGCACATGTGGGGTGTCTTTTTGAAGTCATCCCACTGAGTGCCTAATTTATGTCAGACCTATGGCTGCCACATACATTTTGCAGTAATAACTCGATCCAAGAATCTAGGCTCCTGCTTCTGGGATTGTCTCCAGAAAGGTAGATAACCCATTCCAACGGAATGTTTTGGATGCATGCACTTGTTCAATCATTTCAAAATAGCTTGCTAATGAATGTCAAGTGTTACTTTAGAATTGGCCCTGGGAACTACATTGAATATATGAAGTTCTCGCAAAACCTGTGCAGCACTCTGCCAGGAAAGCTCAAACATGAAGGGGAATGGAACCCTTCCCCGTCCGCTTTGCTCTATATACCATACCATATCTAGTTTGGGCAGGATCCAGCTCTAACAATTTTCATACAGTGACTGATCACTCTGTTCCCCTTCTCCAGCGGCAAATGCTGCATTTCACTGAGTTCTAAAATCTGCTTCTTGTCTCCTATATAATGCCCAGGAAATTAAAAGCAACTGCTGGAGCTCATGCATTTATGAGCCATTGGTCCTGGATTTAATTTCCAGTGGCACTTAAATTTTCACTGTTACATGTTCTCTAATACAGACAGATCATTTTCACAGCGAGCCTGTTACAGCGCCTCTACAAACAATCATCTGGTGTGTGGTGGCCACAGGCAAGTGCTTTTGTACAGCCAGCTGATCCTGGGAATCTGCTATGCTTAAAAGGTTAGGATTGTATGTGGGCGTGCTAGAAAACAAATCCTAGGCATGGTTGTGAGCATACATATCTAGTGCCAGAAACCCAATATACACAAGATGTTTGAACACTTTCCTCATCATTTCCATATACATCAGTGGTTGCATGAATTGGTCCTATGTAAACATGAAGATTTACACTGTATTGTTTTACTGTGTCATCATTTTCGGAAACAATTTTTTTCCAGTTGTAGGACCCACATCTTTTAAATTAATTTGTATGCCCTCAAGATTGTTCAGGCTAATTAGACAGCAAGATGATTACACACCTGAGTCCCCAAAATAAGGCTGTGTGTGTGTGTGTGCTCTTTGTTGTTGTTAGTCGTGAAGTCATGTCCAACCCATCGCGACCCCATGGACAACATTCCCTCTGGCCTTCCTGTCCTCCACCATCCCCCGGAGTCCACCCAAGCTCACACCAACTGCTTCAGTGACTCCGCCTCATTCTCTACCATCCCCTTCTTCTTTTGCCCTCTCTTGTTCCCAGCATTAGGCTCTTCTCCAGGGCTCTTTACTACTTTAGTAACTGGCCAAAGTCTAAGCCTTTCCAAAGCATTTTATACACTATTTAATGAAAAGGTTAAGATAATGGTGGGTGATTTAAAAAATAGGCAATAGGGTTGGATCCAAATCTAGGCACATTCAACTCAGCTGATTGAAAGTAGTCATGCCTGCTTTCTTCTATCCACAACATTCTGTGCATCCACATGACAATGGTACACATATGGTTCAGGGGCCCTACTGAGTGGGGTGATTGTGGTGTAGAGGGATGGGCAATCCCTGAAAACCATGGGGAGGCATCTTCCATGAACGGGGCTTTCCATCCACAGAAGACATTTTGGATCCAATCCAGTAGCATAGCAGTAGGTTTTTCATATTTGTTTATTTTGTTTTAATTACAGCTATTTGCCCAAAGTACCTTAGATAGGTTTGGAGAATATAAAAATATACTTACTCTGTATATTCTCTGATACTCTGGCTGCTAGCTCATTGTAATTCAGTGAGCCAGCATATGAACCACTGTAGGATCCTCCTGTACCCACTGATCTTATCTGTGATCCATCTGCTCCAAGCGATCCGCCAAAAGATCCATCTGCTCCAAGCGATCCCCCAAAAGATCCATCTGCTCCAAGTGATCCGCCAAAAGATCCATCTGCTCCAAGCGATCCGCCAAAAGATCCATCTGCTCCATGTGACCCACCATATTCTCCATTGCTTCCCAATGAACTGCTGTATGATCTTCTTGAGGCTAGTGATGAATCATAGGATAGGGCAGAACTCACGGAACTGCCACGTGATCCATCTGAATTTAGGGATTCTCCATAAGATGTACCCATGAAGTTGGCATCTGCTGGGCCAGGTGGTCCTGGAGGCCCAGGAGGTCCTCTGATGATGCCACGCACATCATCACCTACAAAACACAGAACTGAATGTTAATAGAGCACTATAATGGACTCTGATGTTAGATTGCTCTGCAGGGACAAAGGCGGTTGCAAATGGCTACAAGCAGAAACTGAGATCCTGCTGAAAATCAGTAATAACATTCATAGTAGCAGAAGATCAGAACTATACACCTATTAGCGATGGGTTGCTTATGCTGTATAGATCAAGACTTCTACTTGTGTGTTCTGGATTGTAAGAAATACTGTGCAATGAGCCATACACTTGAACATGTTCAGTTCTGTTCCCTGCCTCTTTGCTCCTGCATAGGGAAGGAGAATCTTAAAGAGGGCTACACGTCAGACTCTCAAGGCAACTACTTACAATTAACATGAACCACACAGAAGAAATTCATGAGGGAGAAATATGGAAAATTGCTGGGAAGATTTAAGATGATTTGTATCTAGCATTTAGTACTTATACTTTTTTGTGAGAATTGAGTTTATGTGGAGGAGAGAAACAATAAAAATAAAATAATTCGTTAAATTCACATTTTAAACAATTTGGATTAAGCAAAGTCGGTAAATCACACCTTGGCTCAGACACCTCAGCACAGTCTGAAAGACAACCAGGCCGCATGACAGCTAGAGTCTATTGTGTGTCTTCTGTGATTTTGCTGTTTGTCTTTCATTGTATTTGTTTGCCATTTAAAAGCGTTTTGTTTCAATTATTTAGTGTATGCCACTTTTCAGTTCATTGATGATAAAGTGGCATATAATTTTTTAAGTTTTTTTTTTTACATTCAGAATCACAAACAGCATGGTCTGTAAAGAATAATTTGTTTCTGAAAATTCTTTTCTTTTCTTTTCACTTTCAGAGTAAGACAAGACATCCTGAGGTAGAACCCTGGATGATCCTATGGTTCCCATTAAGGAAGCACAAATTAAAGACAAGGTTTGTTCCATAATCAAAATAAGCCAAAGGAAACCAGACAGAAAGAAATCTGGTGGCTCTACCTTAAAATAAATGATAATAAACACTTCCAATTTCACAAGAGACCGTTCAGTCGAGACTAGCAGCTGTAGTATGTGTTTCTCAGCTGCTACAAAGACCTATGAGATCAGATCTAGGCAAAGAGCCAGGATGAGGCCCAGACTTAAAATTGCAAGATGCACAACAGTAGGTTATAGCAAAAAGAACTGCAGAACTCTGTGTGTGTGTGAGTCTTACTGATAAGGTACTGGATCAAGGCACTCTTGAACTGGTCACTCAAAACATCATTGCTATCATCGAAAATAAGGCCTGTTCCTGAAAAGCCAGGTGGTCCTGGAGGGCCTGGTGGTCCTCGTGGTCCTGGTAGTCCTGAAAGTGATGAGTATCCAATACCTTGGAGAGAACAGAAGAAGAAGAAATGGTTTTAGATAACCATAGAACATCTACCAAGGATAAAGCTTCTTTAGGACTAGGCAACTAGAGTCTTCTTGTTCTCATCCGTTTAACATTTGCCATTCCATTCCCCTGCCCACCCAGTGTTTCCCAAATTCTAACAGCATGATTTGATGCATGTTTACTCAGAAGTGAATTGAACTGTGTTCAGTGGGGATCACTCCTAGTTCTCAGGACTACAGCCTTGGTTTTAAGACTTTACAAGGAATTTCAACAATAGTTTTGTCAGAATGTAACTTATATAGACATATGTCAAAGGTTTTCTTAAAATTATTACATAAAGATTCCTTTTGTACTTTTAAACTTTGATTCTACATTAAGAAAAGAGAAACTTTTACATACCCTTTCCATTAAATACTAGTGTTTTAATCCAGATTTAATCATACCTAATAGCAGACCAGCTGAAATTAATGGGACCTCAATCATGACTAACTTTCCCACTGATGTCAGTGAGTCTATTCTAAATATGACTAAATTGAGGAAAGTCGAAATGAATTTATGCTATTTTATTTGAACAAAGCTCCTAGAGGAAAAAAGAAGTAACGCATTGTTTTAAAATGGTAACTTGAGGTGTCATTGCATACAATGACTACATTTTCTTCAACAACTGTAATTCTAATACTCCTTTGTCTGTCCCAGGACAAAGGTACCAGTGTGATGACAGTGGCTTCTCACTGGGTTTTTATTATGGAAATCCACCAGCAGAGTTTGGAGGGGTGGATTCCCCATTTTGTTGCTTTGTTGATGACAAAAGCATCCAGACCTAAATGACTGTCAGAATCACTGGCTTGCTTTGCAGCTAATTGCATGTGGCTACATTTCCTGAAAAGCTATGAAGGTTCCTGCATCCTTTCCTCAGACACTTATCAGTAATCCAATCAGAGTGTATGGCAAATCTTACTTTGCAGATATCGGGAGAAGTCTTCTGCACTGAGGGAGGAAAGAGAGATGCCGGGAATTCCTGGTGGACCTGGGGGTCCAGGTGGTCCAACAATGCCACTGAATTCTGAGGCTGAAAGAGCAAAGGGGGTGAATAAGCAACTCATACATGATTCTACCATTGCCCTTGTCCACTATCGCCAAGATAAAATCGCCACCAGCTACACCAGTCTTTCCAATATGGTGCTGCCTAGATGCTTTGGGCTTCAAATCCTGTCATCCTCAGCCAGCAGGAATGCTAGAAGATATAGTCCAAAACATTTGGACAAAGCAGTTTGGGCAAAACTGAGCAACACAAATGGCTGAAGGACTTTCTGTCTCACTGTGTTAATAAGGGAGTGAAGATTGACCGAATAGAAGGCTCTCAGGCTTTGGTAAAACATGAAGATCATTCACTTTGCATTCCTGGGGCTGGATCTTTCTCGTGTCCACTGCTACAGCACCCTGGAAATACTACACAGAGGATTGTGCAGCCCTGTTAAATGAAGGAAGCTGTGTTATGGGAGAAGAGGTCCTTGAAAATCAGAACCTTTTCACCTATGGAAAGTAAGATGCTGGATCCAACCCCTGAGTTATATTAGAATTCTTTACAGAACTCATTATAAGGTGGCTCAAAGCAACTGTGAAGAAACTATGATCACTGACAGGACTTTTTCAGCTTATTCACATGCAGCTTGCTCCTCAAATGTCTCCATTTCCAATTTCAGTTAAAATGAGAGCACAGTCACTCAACTGAATCTGTAGCAGTCTTTCTTCTGTAAATGTATTTTAGGATACCTTTTTCACTGAATAAAATGAAAAGTAGAACTATGCATTCCATTTCCAAACTTTATGTATCCCAGAGGTAGAAAATCCAAGTTGGGTGATAATGCACCATTCTTTACTACTAAATATGATAAATCCTGAGGAATGTATCCTACAGTAGCTTGTCAGGACACCTGGCCTCCCATCATGGCTGGATAGGATTACAAGGCTTACCTCGGAGCCAAGTTTCGATATCTCCATAAGATGGTCCAGGCAAACCTGGAGGACCTGGAGGACCCGGAAGCCCAGTGCCAATACCTGAACCTAGAATATTAACAGACATTGAGAAATGAAAGTAGGTAAGAAAATTGGAAAATAAAATGTTTTATAGATGATGATGATGATGAATTTCATTTATATACTGCCTAACAACCAAAGCTACTCTGGGCAGTTAACAACACATCATAAAAAGGAATAAAGTTCAATACAGATACAATGAGAAGAACATAAAATTCACTACCAAATTTCATACAATTTAAAGAAGAAATTAATACATTCAGTAAAGTAGACAACTGCAAACATAATTCCCTCCAAGCCCATTAAAGCCATTAAATGCCTCAGCATACAAGACAGATGTATTCTGGCACTGGAAAGATAACAGTGGGCTTTAGGCCTTAGGTAGGAGTGTCTGCTCCAGAATTGCAGGGAGTGGGGAGAAGGGCCCCTTCCCTGTTGCCACTAACTGAGCCCCCTTGGATACAGCTTTCAGCAAGAGATCTCAGAGGTTGTCTGGATAGATGATGGTTGGGAGAGGCAGTCTGAGAAGCACTGCATCTCCAATTCATGTAAGGCTTTGTAGGTTAAAACCAGCATATAGGCAGCCAATGCAAGTGGCCGAGAACTGTGTTATATATTCCAATGTCTTGGCCGCAGTTTTTAATCAGACTGCTTCATTCTGCAGCAGCTGAACAGATTTGGCTAGCAATCACGGGAAAGTAAGTTATTTATTACCCATAATTCACCCTGACTGAGCTCCCAGTCTCCACAGAAGGCTGGCAAAATGAATGGATGAGTTTACAGATGTTTCAGTCTTACTTAAGTCCTTGAGACAAGTGCATGTGAGGAACAAGGGTGCTTCCAGAAGAGGCTCTGGTTGTGAAATAGCCATGCCTCATTCATGGAATTTGACAGGACTCCAGAAAAATGTTGACTTTAATTTACAACTTTCCTGTATTTTCTCATTGCTTCTTCCCTCTCTTCTTAATCACAGAAAATCTTTTAAGACAGAATAACTGCATATGAAAAAGCACATATGGATCCCTGTAAAAAATAATCCCTTTTTAAAGGAGTGGAAGATGTGACAGCTAACTGTCAAAACTGATAGTTCCTATAAAATGAGGATGCCTTGCGCTTTTCCATTTTCCCAAGCACCTAGAACCATGAGAAATTGGGGAGGCAGCTCATCCTGCCAAAAACCTTTGAAGGTCTTGCTGTAAAAAGGGTGACCAACTTCCCTCCTTTGTTCATGAACAAAGATCACACAAAATAAAGGTCTTGGCAGCCTTGAGCAGAGCTAAGACAAAGTGGGCCATTTCAGACCCACAAAAGTCTGCAAGTATACATTTGTGCAAGTTTAGCTAAATTTTTAAAAATCAAAATTTTGTATACATTTGGGGTGCATATTTTTAAAGGGAGTGATGCACTTGTACCCAGTGTGCCAGGTGGGTATTTTGAAGGAGTTGTCACTAGCTATCAAATTGGATATTGCTCTTCACATTTTATGAACAAAGAAATGGATAAAAGGGAACCCCCCAAAAACCAGCCATGCAGCTTGCAATCTTGGCAGGGTGCACAGAGTCAGTGGCAGCTGCCCCAAAGGCACTTGTCAGGGCTGTCCTCCGTGGAGGTGGCCTGAGTGAGTTTGGTGAAAACGGCAAGCCATTTTTGCTGCTCTTGTCAAGTGGCTGGCTGGGTAATTCTCAGTACCCATGTTGGGATCAGTAGACTGGGTTGTGGTGACACAATCTATTGTGGGGACAATAACCCCTGAAACAAACTATGGGTTGTCAGAATGGCTTGTTGCCCTTAAACAAGCCAGCCTATGAAAAACAACGGTGAGTCACACAACATGACACTCCATCATGGCTCGTCACTCATGGTGGTTAGTTGTACCATGCAAACCCACTCAGTATGTGGTAGTAAATTTTTCTTATAGGATGGTTGCAGATAGGTAGTGCAGAAAGGTCTGTCTGCCCTTCACCATGTGCCATTGGGGAAATACTTTGTGCAGCCTGATAGTAGCAATAGGGCTGCTTATAAAGTAAGCCATTACTTGTCATATAGCTGATAACTCGTCTTGTCAACTCATCATAGTCCAACAACAGAGATAAGTCAGCTCCTCCCAGTCCAGGTGGCCCAGGGGGACCTGGGGGACCCTGAGGTCCAATGAGATATGAACGAACGTCTTCTCCTAAGGGGGAAAATGCAACACAAAGGTTTTACTTTTCTGTTTCTTCCAGACATAAATCAACAGGGTGGCACTATTTCTGATATGGATCCATACAGTTTGAATCGCTCACACACTCAACTCATTCTAAAGCAACTGTAAAATACCTACTATATTTTAACTTCTAGAACCAACCCCCTCCTGATTCTAGGTTCCTGCATGTGTTGGCACCAACTTCAGTAATTCAGATGCCATTTCAGTTACATATAGTAGCTTTTTCCTGTCTCATTTTCTCCTCATATTTATAGTAACATGAAAGAGCAAGCCGCTTCCAAGAAACAGATCTATTGCCATTAATTCTGTGACTTAAATTTACACTGAGGATTGGACATCACAAGAATATGAAACAACACATACCTAATTATAGTAATGTTTCAATTTATTTTAATAATTTCAATACAATATAATTTGCTGTTAAGAACAATATTCTTTTTAAAATGCCAAGCACTCATCAAACTGTTCTCGGACTAGAAGAAGAACAGCACCTGACCAGCAAATTATTTTCTAGTCATGAAACATGACATGGTAAATGGGAGCAAGCAATTGGCTAAAATTCATTCATTACTCAGAACATGAAATGTAGGGAAAAGAAGCAAGTGGGGACCGCTTCCCTTGGTCATCAGTCATCCTACTGACTTTCTGTTCACTGGCTCTAACACCTGACACAATTCTTACTCTGCAATTGTGTTGACAATTACCCCTAGATACATATTCGCTTTCTATCTCCAGAGGTCTGAGTCTTCTGTACTACCAACTTCCTACAATTATTGAGCTATTTACTTACTCTTCAGCATGGTAAGAAGATCTTCATAAGAAAATGTGGAGAAAGAGCTAGACATGGAGGAACCTGAAGTTAGAAGAAATAAAATATTCAGAAACATGCTCAACATATAGAAATGAAAAGACTAGTAGGATTTTTTTTTCATAAAGCAAAAGAAGCAATTGGATGATAATGAAGAAGATCCATATGAAAGCATGGAGGAAAGACACCACAGGAGTTTCATGGTCTGGTCAGCTGATTAATATCCTGCCTTTGGTACCAAAAATGTCTGTTTTCTGAAAATGAATAATCAGTGGCATTGCAATATATCTCTCTTTGGAGCCCTCCTAACCACAACAGCAAAAGCTTTCTCTCTCCAATACTAGGACTCCATAGTAGAGTGTGGAAAGAATTTAGGCTGGAATCTTCTGGAAAATCTTTGTGTGATTTGTAATAAATCTGCAAGGGTTTCTGACTCCCTTTCTTTCTGACTTAAGAATAGCAAAGCAATAACACCCCTCTCTAGATTAAGGCAAAGAAAGAAGCGGAGAAAACTCAGAGTTAATTTTTGTGAAAGGTCTGTGAGCTTAGTTCTCATACTAAAAGCAAATTCTTGCTACTGTATGAGTCCTTAATTCAGCTAGGTGTATGTTTACCCTGAGCTGCCATTTTAAAATTAATTCCAGTTAGTGTACATTGAGAGTCTAGTGGAAAACAAATTAGATTCTAGAATCCTGAAGTCTACCTATCCCCGCCTTAGTGTACAAGTAACATATGCCTGCCTTTCAATACTGTAATGTCAATCACTAGCAATATGTTTATTAGAGCCACATTTGGCCCTGAATCCTTTGGCTGGATCACACTTACACATTTGGCTGCAACAGTCCAGTCAAAGATTTTCTCTGCAAGAGGAATTTAACCCACATTTTACTGAGGCTTCTCCTGTTTTCATTGTGGGAGGGGAAAGGTGCCCTGTGCACAGATTTTTTTTCTGGGGTATTTCTCTGCCATTCTGTATATTCTGTTAACCATCCACGATGTGGCACTGTGACAGCGTAACACATTTGCCACTTTTCCAGTTTATTGCCATTTAAATTTCAATAGCTGACATTCCTCCCCTAAAGAAACCGCTGCAGAAATGGCTGGAAAGCACCAGAGAAGCTCTGAAGCAATGCAGTTTCATGAAAAGGACTTGCAATCTTCTGTGACTAAAGAATCACAAATGCACAATAAATGCCTCATGCAGAGTTGCTCAACGTGAATTGAGTCTCAAAAGCAAAAGCACTGATGTACACAGTTAAACTATTTCAGATTGCAATTCCATGCACATATATTTGGGAGTCCCCACTAAATTTAGCGGCACTTATTTTCACACAGTCCTGCACAGGAATAGGGTGAACATCCCATTGATTCCAATGAGATTAAGTCCACAGTAACACAATTAGATATGTTCAATTTTATGAAGTATTTAATTTTGCCAAATTTTGTCACATGGAATAAGAAAGAAGAACTAAAGCAATCACTCATGGTGGGAAGCTGTTATCTGCATCAACAAATGCCTTCATATATTGACATTTCTTTTTAGAAACTTAGAATAGCTCGGAATACAGTAAAAGGCAGACAGAAGTCTAGGAATTCAGAGGAACATGGGATGGGATGGGATGGGATGGAATGGGATGGGATGCAGAGAGAAGAAAGTCCTAATGGAGCATAACCTCAAACCAAAGGACCAGAAATGTTTGCCTGGGTTAGAATATGATAACTAGAAAATGAAACAATTAAGACGAATGCAGTGTGGGCCACCTAGAGATGCTGTAGGTAGAGTAGGCAGCATATAAATATTTTAAATAAATAAATAAACAATAATCCCCATATGACTCTCTGCCATCTAAACAGGCCATTGTGCTGGGATAAAATCAGAGACAAGGGGAGATAGAGGGAACAAAAGGCCCTCCACACTAATGATGCCCAAGAAACACGCATATCTGCCACAAGTAGGAAAGAAGCAAACCACATTTTTATATATACTGTGACTGAAGAATTGGAGATGTAGTACTTGAAAACAGGATGCTTACTGGATATGTAGGCCATGACATGGCGAGCCAGTTCAGTGTAGTCCAAAGATTCACCACCAATGGAGATTCCTGGAGGCCCTGGAGGGCCAGGTGGGCCTTGTGGTCCAATCAGATAACGCCCAATGGAGTCACCTAATGATGGAGAAGGAAGATGTTATTTGGAATTGCATATATATTACTGGGTACAAGGAAATACAGAAAGCTATGGAAAGAAAGGGCTGGTGAAAACCTGGCAAAGGAGCTGCGGCTTTCAAACAGAAACTTGAAAGCAGTCGCCTTCCTCATTCCAGACATTCCTAGGCCTAGATCAGGGACTCCTTATTTACCTTGGTTCTGAATCAGCTCGGCTGTCGCTTGATATGTGTGAAACAAACTAAGAGCTAATCTACATGAATGGAGTAATAATTTAAATGGCAATATTTGGTATTATATTATCTCAGACTACAGATCAGCCTCATATATTTTTGAATATTCCTCCTTGTCATAAAAACAAACCAACCAACCCCTGGCTGCATGGAGACAATGTGCAAGTCAGACAGAGAGGTTTAAGAGGGACTCGTCCTGCTATACTACTTCACTACATCCAGGAAGTTTTTTGATTGGGAGACCATTCCAAAATATGGGCTCCATTCCCCCTACAATCTGAAATGATAAGCCAGAATTCTGCCACCCAGTCTAGCACCTCATTCTGCATAATAAGTTAATCTGATCTCAGATGATCAAAGGGTAAATGAGTTCCAGAATGATCTAAATCTTCCCTGATATCTCAGAGGCACTTGAACTGAATGCTGACAGGAGTTGTCCATGACAGTATAACGGAAGCAGAGAGCATGCCTTCTTCTGAAAATCAGCTCTTGTGTTTACTTACTCTGCAGGTACTCAGCTATGTACTGCTGCATCTCTTGCATTGAGCCAATTCCTAGGCCTGGAGGTCCAGGAGGGCCTGGGGGACCTGGAGGACCCGGAGAACTTCTTGATCCAGCTGCACAGGTAAAAAAGTCAAGTTACTTTGTTTACTGCAGGAGAAAGACATAAACTGTTAAGGCAAGAATCCATCAACCTAAGCATGCGCTATTGACATTAAGAGTGTAGAACATACTAGAAAGCAACCATGCGTTTCATTTTGCCTTGGCACACTAATGACAAGAGACTTGCAAGAATGAGGAGCATCTTCCACCCCTCCATGTTCTTGCCAATTTCCTCCAGCAGGCAAGTCCCGGGATGGTTTTTATTATTTTCCCCAGCCGGGCTCTGTGACCTGCGAAGGTCTGGCTGTGAAGAAACCTGGCTGAGGCAGGAGGGCACCGGCAGGTAGGAAGCTGTTTGGTGTGCATGTGTGCTCATGTGTGTGCATGCAGTCACCCCCTTCCTGCCCTCCTGTTTCCTGAAAAAGCCTTTCTTCGGCCTCTGAAATTTCATTAACTGGCACTTTGAGGAAATAGAATTGCCTGCACACAGGCTGAGGTTAGAGAATCCAAAGGAACATCTCTTCCTGTAAGGACCTGTCTGGCTCATCTTCAGAGGCTCATCTCTGGGAGCCCCTGCTAAATATAGTTAGGTGGGGGCCTACAGAAGCAATGTCTTCTCCACTCTGGCATCTTGCCTATGGAATGACTTCCTGAATGTCTTTTCAGCACCAGGCACAGATATTTATTTTATCACAGGCATCTTAGATGTATAGATTTTGGGTTTAAAATGTGTTTTGCTGTATGAATAAATGAATGCTGTGCAGTTGTATCCTTAAAGTGTTCCTTATTTTACACTCACACTCAGATTCTTAAGAAAACCCCAACTTCTTCTAGCATGATAGAAGATGTTTTTGACATGTCTCAGAATCTTTCCCCTTACCCATGAGATCCTCTGACAATTTTGTGCAGAAGCTACATACACACAAACCGAAAGGCAGCACAGCACCAAATGCCTTGGGCATTTTCTTTAAAAATATCAAAGGGGAGGGATTCTGAAGGAAGCCAAAATGTACAACACAGCATATGTATCCCTACAGTTGCAGTCAGGGCTTTAGCTAATACATCTTCCAGCCACGTTGCTCATAGTGGCAAGTGTAGTTTCAGGCTCTCAGCTGTATCTGCCCATCTTCAGTCACACTGTGCAAGCACTGAAGATAATACCCAACAATGGATTCAACATCCCAAGAATCTTGGGTTTTAGCAAAGAAAGCAAGTTTCTAGTCCCTGTGCAAGCAAAGTTATCTTTGAAAATATGCAGGCAATAAGTGGTGAAATGTCAGTAGCAAGAAAGACTGACCAAAATAGGAGTCAGTGCTCTGCATAGGCCTTTGTCTCCCCTTGTAATCAGCAGAAATACAATATACTATGGAGACACAGCAAAATTAGCCATTTGCTCAGGAAGCAGAATTCACCGCTAAAGGACACACATGGCCTTACTTGATCTTCGGGCACAAGTTTTTGTACAATTCTGAACAAAGGATGTATCAGTGATATATATTCCCACAGAACAGCAAATGTTATATATTAATCTATCTATCTACTGTCTAATGGCTATTTTGCTGTCTACTCTGTTAATCACTTTGAATGCGAGGCAGTTGTGGAAAAAGACGAGGACTAACCAGAGGCAACAGGTGGGGGATGCCACTTTTCTGCTCTGAATTGTGGTGCACGTGCCTTTGCAGTGGGAGCTGAACGCCTTAAGGGTGCAAAGCAGTGTGTGTTTAGAGAGAAAAACCCTGCAGCTCCCAGCGTTTTCCAGCTGTGCTGACTGGGGAGCCCTGAGAGGTGCAGGATGCTTCTCTGTCTGAACTTACCTAGGATTGCACCCTAATTTATTTGCTCTTGAAGGAGGCAAATGATGTATCGGTATTCTGTAGCACTAGGTTTGTTCTGTTCGTTGACATTACTCATACACAGACGCGTGTGGTCTTTATGCAAAAGAAGAGGGAGACTCTTACCTCCTCCTGGGATGCCAGGGGCGCCTGGAACACCTGCATCACCTGAAATAAGTCAGAGGGAACTGTGTTTGAGGGACTAATGTGGCAGGTCAGAAATCATCCCTCTTCTACCCCTATTTGGGGTAGGGTACATGATGAAAGCCCAGGCTGCAGGTTCGTACAATCTAATCTGCCCTGTTGGAAAGATATGCGAAGGGGAGCCAAGGTGTTTTCTCAAAGGGATGCTGCAGAGGTCACTTTAAAAATAAAAGTGCATCCCGGCTTCAGATGGGAATGAATGGGCATCAGTGGAGTGGCAGATTTCATCACTGCAAGCCAGGACAGGAGCTGCTCACAAACCTTTGTCTCCTTTGGGTCCAGGTGGCCCAGGAAGCCCAGGTGGCCCTTGGACGGCAACTCCGGAACCTGCTAACAGAGACAGCGCAGGAATCAGGGGCACTGAAGAGGAATTGGGGTCAGGTTCTCAAACAGAGAATTGTGAAGTAGATTGCGAAGATTGCTACAATCTACACCCAGAATATTTTATGTATAGTAACTGATATAAAAAGTGAATGCTACAGATACAATCTGGAAGTATATATACCATGCAGAGTCCTGCACAAGCGATTCACAATTGGCGTAATTTCCCTGTTAAATATACACTGGTGCCTGCTCAGCCAGTTTTGCAAGTGTGTCATGTTTGAGCCTGATATATTTGTTTCTATGGGAGTAAGTGCCATTCCACTCAATAGGACTTATTGCTGAATGTAAGAGAGAGAGAGAGAGAGAGAGAGAGAGAGAGAGAGAGAGTAGGCCCAAAGTAAGATGAGAAATACATTCACACTTACCTTGTATAGAAGATCCTGGGAGACCTGGCTGGCCTGGTTCACCTGTAAGAAAGGTGACAATTCACACAATCTGACCACCACCATGTATCAATATCTCCTGATCTATACAATGGAATTTATTTATTTATTAAAAGCTTTTCTATTGCATCCCCTACAAACATCTTGGGATGGCTTACATTAAATAAGTATAATAAAACAAACCCCACAGCATACTAAAACCCCAGTTAAAACCAATTAAACAATAAAACAGCAGGAAAATAAAATGGGTTTTACGTGATGCTGAAAACAATATAATGGGAATAGAAGAGTAAGTATTACCTGTGAATCCTCGTGGGCCCGGCAAGCCTGCAATTTAAAAAAAAAAAATCTGTTAGCTTGCTGGGAATACTCAGGGACCCAAACACTCTGGCCAGATACATGTGCTAGAACCAACTACACTGCTGAAGGTGTGCTAGATCAGTTATTATTTCCATTCTTTTTTATCAATGGAGAAGCTAAGGAAGCAGATGTGTTGGGGCCGGAGTACCAGAATGCCTCATCTTGCATGCAGTCATGCACCATGATTCTAGATGCTTAATCAGCAACATGCATCTACTGATTGATAGATATCCCACTTTTTTTTCTTATAACAAACTCAAAGGGGCTTTCATCATTGTCCCCCTTGTGCTCTCAATCTTATCTTCACAACAACTACAACCCTGTGAGATAGGCTGGGTTGAGTCTGCTGGCCCAAAGTCATGCCATTGGCCCCATGGATGAGCAGGGACTAGAACCCAGGTTGCCTGAGTCCCAGTCCCATCCTCTTATCCACTGCACCCCACTGGCTCTTCTGTGTTTGGAAAGGAAGAATCACTGCAGATTCAGTGGGATCCGTTGGTTTTGGACATGTACATTCACAGCTACTCCTGCCAAATTGTGTGGCAATACATTTACCCTAGATCTGGCTCTGCCAGCCAAACTGACCCTCTTGTTTGAGTTGGGAGTCTGCAAGTGCTTCTAAAGAAGAATTTCACTGTGCCATTGGCCTGCCTCATTCATGGAATTTTACAGGGGATTGGTACTGAGGACATCATCTTCAACACATAACCCTCCCATGTTTTCCCACCACTCCATGCACCATCATAATCTTTTTCTTTCAACTACGGAAAATGAAGAAAAGTTGGAATAGCTGCACAATGCCTTCTGATTTTCTCACTAAGGGTCCTTCATCTGGAATACCCCTGTCCTCTTGCTGCTGAGGAGACAGTGGCTATAGCTGCCTCTGGAAAAGATACTCTGCAAAATATCAGAGAGATTATATTTCTCTCTGTAGCAGTTTAGCAATTCCCAAAATTAAGCATTCAGGTTAAAGTAGGGCCACAAAAAGGCCATTGAAAAAGAAAACCCTGAGAATCTGTGTTTGTCACTTCCTGGAGAACAGATAACTATATACTTAGACTCACAGTGCCTGCTCCCCTGCTGTGACATTGCTCAGAGTGAAAAACTGGCGATGTAAAAAACAGTGCTTCTTGAGAAGTGACAAACCTCATTTGTTTAATCACCTTTGCGTGGGTTTTTACATTTACTACATTCTCCTCTTTTGTGGCTTCCCACTGGTTCCTTATCCCCACAAACTACTGATCAGATCTGTGCATGCATATGTCCAGCTGCTCCCTGATGGGTCACTGGGCCCAAAGGGCAGGATTCCAAGCCACTCACCTTGATCTCCCTTTGGACCTGGAGGACCAGGTGGACCTGGTGGACCAGCAAAGAAAGTCTCTGCATTGGGGGAAAGGGCAAAGCAACATCAGAGATTGGCATCCATATCAGGGCAGAGTCCTGGTTTTGCTTCACTGGCCAGGATTCCCTTGCCAATATTCAGTACACCTTGGCTTTGCCCAAGCCTTCACTTCAGCTGTTCTACCAACATCTGCCCACAGTGAGCATCTGAGCTTACAAGCAAAATTGAAATACCTACCTGATGTGGGTACAAAGGATCCGGGTCTTCCTGGTGGGCCTGGGGGACCAGGTAGGCCTTCGCCTAAGTGAGAGAAAGATCGGCATGCATTAGTGCTGATTGATAAAGAAGCATCCAAGATGCCTTTGCGGGAGGAGTGATACATCGATGACCATCTATGTTACAGCACAAGAAAAGTTTGACTGCACAGACTTTTGACCTGTTCTCTTCCACGTTTATACTATCCTTCCATCTTTATTCATGACTTTCTTGTTAAGTGCCATTGCATCTACATTAGAGACCACTTGAGGGATACTCTAGTTTCAGATATGTGGACTGACTGGGCATGGAGGTGGTGGATACATGGTCAGTGAGGGCATTCTTGTGATGCTCACCAGCTTTGTGAATCAGTGCTGGCTTGATACATAGCAAGAGACTGCCTATTTTTCCTCCAGAAGGAGTCCATTCTGCATAGACCAAAAGTTTCACAAACAGACCCTTATTTATACATTTCAGAACTCTTCTGTTCATCAGGCTGAGGAAAAGGGACATTGCCTTGTTCTGCCATTTTGGTTATGGTATGTACCCATCTCTTGATGTGGGGTGAATCTTCCACCTCAGCCAATGGAGCAGGGAGAGTGGCAAACTGCTTGCTCCCTCAACACAGCCAAGAGGACCAGCCGCTACTGTGAGTTGCCTGCCTGCCCTCATTGGCACGATGCTCCCCACTCCATTCCATGTTCCTCTTGCTCTGCGGATCCTCTCAGCAGGTGGACAAACTCTCCAATGAGCAGCATCAGCTGGAAAAGCCAGACACCCCTTCCCGCAATGCCTGGCTCAGAGGAAGGACCCCTTGAGCAAGACATTTCAGCCTTGCCCAGAGGAGCCACACTGGCTGCTTTTCCAGCTGACTTGGCTGTTCAGAAAGTGGCACAGAATGGGAAACGTGGGGCCAAAGGGCTGAGTGACCTGGGCCAGACTGAATGAGACCAGACCAGGTCAGACCAAGAGGAAAAGAGAAGTGGTGAGCATACAGGTGTGGAGGAGGAAAGCAGGAAGATGGTGCGGAGGGAAAGGAAGGGAGAGGGAGCTGTGCAGGAGGGGAGGAGATGGACCCCACAAGAGGGCGGATGAGGAAGTGGATGGGGGGGGGGTGGCAGGTGTGAGAGAGGCTGAAGGAAGAGATGGGCACAGTGCAGGGGATGGCAGCAGTGCCTGTGCCACACTATCCCAGGCAGTGGAAGAGCTTACACCGGCTATGGATTATCAAACTTGTCAGCCGTTCTTGAAGCTATGGGAATTAAATCTGTGCATTAATATGCTGCTTCTGCAAAACAATCAAGCAGTTTAGGCAAATCCCCAAAGAGAAGCTCTTAATTTATGCAAAAGTGCTTTTACCTGGTGGGCCACGGGGTCCTGGTGGGCCCTGAACAGAAGCACCTGAATTATGGAAAGAAAAGTCTCATTTTGGACTCTGATATAAACATAAGCAACAAGCTGATGCTCCCACCTAGCTGTCTGCTCCCTCCATACCTTCCCACTTTTGAAAACAGGGGAGAGAGATTTACGTCCTTCACACAACCAAGGGCATTTGGTAGCAGTGGGGAAAGAGCTGCCTTCTTCCGGCTGTGGCCCGTGAGTTAGTCGTGTGTGCAGCGTGTGGCTTGGGCAGCAAATGGGTTAGGAAGCAGCACATGTAGGAATAACCTGCAAGTACCACGTGACAAAGCAGCTCTGTGAACACATCCCTTCACTTTGGCCCTTGACCTCAAAGGTCTCTGCCACATGGGCACCATCATCCCCAGTCACACTCACAGTGCCTGACCAAGTATTAAATGTAAATTGCCTAGGTTTCAAAACCTTTATGTTCATTAAGACACATTCTTAAAAACATATTCAATACATGCTTTGTTTTTTTATCCTGTTCTTAATTGTCTTGGAACATGGTTTTTGCAAAGCTCATCTTGTATATCAGTTAAATTATACATTTATCTTTTTTTTTTTCTTGTAAAGATAAGTTATTACAAGGACATTTGGTATAATAGCAGCTCAGGGCTTACAGAGTTAATATTTATTATCTCTTGCTAATAAACATGATTTCACAATACTCAGTGATTTAAAAATATCTTCACTTGAGATTAAGCTTCAAAATGTTAGAAAAGATTAAAAAGCAGTGGGCGCTGGATTAATTTCCAGTAATAACAAGTAAGCCGGTGATTATTTTTGAGGTTCAATATTAGAAGAAGTGAGGAGTATGGAAATTTTTCCTATAGCTGCATGTATGAGTCCTATCTAGCTCCCTTCCATTTTTTCACTTTATACAATTTGGTACTTCCTTGCAGAATATACTCTGGTGCATATACCTGGTGGACCTGGGGGTCCTGGAGGTCCTGGCCTTCCTTGCATATTTGGCATAGCTACACAAAAAATACAAAATGCAAATACACTTTTTAAGTTTACAAGCAATAATTGAGGTATGCATATATTTCAGAGATGGAAACAGGACATTTTCCAAAGAGAAGATTTTATGGGTTAAAGGAGAGAACTTCCACCCACAGGTTAATAGAGACAGGGGATCAGGGGTCCCCATCCAGCCCTATTTTATACCACTAGACTAGAAATAGGAGAATAAAATAAAATAGAATAATGATTCTTTCAAAATATAAAGATGTGTTATGAGAGACTTAATCAGTCCATATATATATTCAATGGAATATACTTTAGATAAAAAGGGAAATGGCCTTGACAGACTGAAGCTTCAACAGCTTAAGATTTTGTCACAGTTGGCTGGGTATGGCTGGATCTTCAAAAAGAGTTGAAACATGCACTATTCAAGACCAAAATTTGTTCAGGGATCTGTTTGGTTCTCAGTAGCTGATGATCATTAAAAGGGAGGTGGAGGAGAGAGAAAATCTGAGTTTCAATTTTTATAGTGTTCTAGGAGTCAGATTTAACCTCCTGAAAGCACCCTCTCTTTGGAACTTAGTATACAAGTTGGCATCACAAACAGAAGCGTACAAGAGAAGGTCATCTTACCTTCAACAGCAGCACTGTTTGGTCTGACAGTTTCCACAATGGTAGTTTCACCTGGGGGACCTCTCTCACCCCGAGGACCTACATCGGAAAGTAGAAAATTATTTAATTAGAAAAGGAATGCACCACTTGGGTAGAAAATCAGTGTGCCAGGGTCTAATTTTGACTGAGTTCATGCATTCTTTTTGTTCCCAATAATCTTGAGGGGACCTGAACTGCTCTTCACCTATGCTTCATACAAGTTATTTATGATTTTGAGGAATCGGAGAGGAAGACATGTTAGTGATTCCTTAAATCTCTGGTCAATGCATGTGGAAATGCTGGATGTATAAAACAAGGGAATAGATTTGCCAACAAAAGCGACCTGCCCTCATGATTAGCACTGTGGCCTCTTGCCATGCTGCATGGAAACGTATCCCTTCTATGAAAGAGCACAATGGGTGATGATGTTCACTCATGTGTATAAACATATATTAAGGCATGTGCATGCACCAGCAGACACATCTGCTATCATCACATGAAAATGAACAGGTGAGTTTTTGTGCTCTTTATGTCAGACAGTTGCCAGATGTGATACAGCCAGTTGCCAGATGTGATACAGCCCTTCTGCCATGGTCAGACAATAAGTTTCCCAATTTGTACAATTTAGCTTGGACCTGAAAGTGCTGGAGGCAGCACTGTGGGCCAAAATTCTCTGGGAGGTTCATAACAGTTAACACTATAAATCCAACTTAAAACACATTATGAAAGTTTAAAGCTTGACAGGGGCTCATGGAGAAGGACTGAGGACAGCCTTGGGCTCTAGGCAGTTAAACATGGGGCAAGATGTTCTTTCAGGTAATCTGACTCCAAGCCAGGCTTTGAATGTTAATACCGGGATTTGGAATCAGGTTTGGACATGGGCTGGCAGCCAGTGCAGATGGAAAATATGTTCACATTGGCCATTTCCCGTTAGTAATCTCACTACCCTATTCTGGACCAATTGAAGTTTGGCACAATACCCACATGCTTTGCAAGTTGTGGATTTGCAAGTTGGAGAGAGAGAGAATGAGATAAGCCATGGGGGTCATGATGGAACCCAGAAAACAACCAAAGGCCCTCTGCTTTTTACTGAAGCCCTGATAGGACATACCTTTCCCCACCAGCCAACTGAAGCTACTCCTCTTGACCCCAGAACAGTCCTGGGCACTTAACACACCAGGAGCAAACCACAGCACATACAAAATCTGTGGTATAACAGATCTGAAGAAATCTAGAATATATTGGCAGAAATCATAGAGACTTGCGGCCTGGGATGAGCGTCATGTAACACACCAGCAAGTGAGGCTGTACAATGTCTATAAAATGCTGAGTGCAGGTTGCCCCAGAAGAAAGGGCCTGCAAGAACATGAGAAATATGAAGCACAGAGCATGAAACAGCATAAGGGAGAAGATATGTGGGCACAGAAAGGAAGGAAACAGGTGCTGGGCTTACACTGAACACATTACCTTGAGATCCAGGAAGACCAGCTGGGCCAACAGGACCTAAATTGGGAGAATAAAATAAAATTGGATCACCTTTCTCAATAGATGAACCGACTGCCTCCCACCTCAAAAGAAGAGCTGCAAACATCTGATAATGTACTTGTGAGAAAGGCTGAATAACATTTCTTCAGATTTTGATAGCTACTGGCAGGGCTTATAACCCTCCGGACAGCTGGATTGCAGACAATGGATGTTTGCTGTCTTCCATGTCCTTAATATCTTTGTACCGTGTACTTAAACATCCCTTGCTTCTGGAATACATTGTCTTGAGCCTAATACATCTTAATGAGACTAGAACAAGGAAGACAGTAAAATGTCTTCTGGCTGATGGACAGTATATAAATTTAAAAATAAGATAAGATAGGATAGGATAGGATAAAGGGAAGGGAAGGGAAGGGAAGGGAAGGGAAGGGTGTGAGATGCTAAATTTAGAAAGAAACTGTGAACCAGTGTGCTCCTTAAATCTTCTGTAAAGAGGGATGTTAGGTTTCCTCCTTCAGCAGTTGGTGAATGCACGTGAGGACTGCTTCACACAGACATTATACATGGTTAGACATTGTCAGCTATGAAAATTGGATGTCTGCTTTGCTGCAATTCCATGGGTTGTATCCAGTGCTAGTCTAACTTACATCCAATTTATTCCAATGGGTTTACTTTAGGTTTTAAGTAACATAAAACCTCCATGTGTTTTGCAGCTACAGCACAAAATTGGAATCCAACTATGTATCATTCAAAGCAAAACTGACCTGTGGGATGCTCGCCCATGTGTGTAGAGGGTTGTGATAGTGCTGATGGATCAGACAGAAATGCCATTCCATCAATCATTAGGAAGCACAATATTAGACCGCTAATGAGATGTCCAGGAAATATATCTTGGGGTACAAGCCTAAGTGCACCTGCTAATTAAGTCATTGCACCATAACCACAGGTAAATATTAGGGAGAAAGCAAGTAAAATGGCAAAGAAGAATTGAAGGAGGTTCTCACCTGGGACACCAGGTGGGCCTGGAGGTCCAGCAGCTCCTGGTGGGCCTGGAGGTCCACGGAAAGTAACTGTTGATCCACTATCTGAAACACAGAGAATTGGTAAATCACGTCATGAGAAAAGATTGCATGATGGAGGAATAAAAGCAACCAGCTTTTCCTGTAATATCTGCAATGCATACCTGTGGAAGTAACTTGGCCTGGTGCTCCAGGTTCACCTGCAGAAATACAAAGAAAAGATGTTACTAGGCCTTCTATTGCCAATGTGGTGAATTGTGGATAATATGTTTGTGATGCCACTGAATGTCTGTCTCATTCAATTCCTACTCAGAAGTATTGTAATTACATAAGATTGACAATGGATGACACTAATGGGATTGCGGAGGCGGCATTCATACCGGTTGCCCCACTGTTTTATAGATACGTAGACCTCAAATTAACTGGGCATGCTGTTCAGAATCCAATATATGCATCTGATACTGGAAAGGATGATTTTGGAGCACTCCTGAGCTCTCAGTAGCATTCCGTAGTTGTCATTGCCCCATCTGATGCTTGCATTGGAAACATTAGTGGCTGTCAGAGTAGGTGATGAGGGGAGGAACTCTTCACCACTCCTCTTCTCCTCACCTTGGTTCATTCATCCAAGCTTCGACAGTGCTGCTGCAAGAGCATCGAGAAAGAGTAGCATAGTCCCCTTTGCTAAGCAGATCATAGAGGTCTGTCCAGGAGCACCCATTTATCCACTGGCCTAGTTAATGTGATTCTTTGCCTGCTTCTTGGAGAGGAAGAAGGAAGTACCACCAAGCAGAGCCTTTGTGTGATCAGGAATTTGCACAGAGGGCCACTCTGCGGCTAACCATGCACTGGACTAGAATGTATGAACAAGGACCCTGACTACAGAAAACATGGAAATCCAACAAGCATTCAGACTCACCTTTAGGTCCTGGTTGGCCTGGATTGCCTGGGAGCCCTGCAGAGAGTTAAAATGACCGTTCAGAATGTATACTGTTGTACTTTGTCAACGTACAGTCGTCCAGATGTTTTGGACCACAATTCCCTAATGCTGGCTGGGGCAATAGGAGTTGAAATTCAGAACATCTTCAAGTCGGGGAAAGTTACTGTTTATCATATCGTTATAAAGCTGGATCATATGGGGTCATGTATATTAATCTCCTTCATTAAAATGCATGGCAGTTATTCATACATGCACACAACTGCAGCAAACAACTGGCATTTGTTTCATGTAAAGTTATTTTCATTGCTGTGAACTTTTTTCTGTGTTCCAATATCTAAAAATGTAATCTATATGTAAATCCTCAGAGAGTTTGATTAAATTTAGAATGCATCATTTGGCAGATAGAACCACATGAAAACTCATTTCCTATAATTATGGGATAGCCCCTGAATTACCAGGCTGACCACCCACTGAGTTTCCATAGTCAGAAGGTGCAGGTGACCTTATCTTCATGCAATTACACCCAGTGCTTGATAAGAGAGTACTGTGCAGTTACCAGTAATAATTTTCCATCCTTTGCAAGTCCACATGCTTGGGAAATGATCACTTGGGAATCACCCCACTGAGTAAGCCCTCAAGGATTGGACTGTAAGTTTTTTTTGCCACATGGCAAAATCATACCAGCCACATGAAAAACAAAAATGACCTCTTTTGCTGTACTTGTTGACCAATCTGATGAAAAAACCTCCTTGACAATCATCACCCACATTACATTAGTGCTTGACAGCAATTACTTGAGTTTGTAAAGAGAAACAACATTTACCACCAGGTAGGGAAAGCACCTGTAGGACACACAGGGCATTGGAAAACATCTTTTGGATCTTTGTATTTTGTATTTCTAAAAGTGTGGCATTTGTAAACATTGTTGTCAGCCTTGTCTCAACCTAAGCTCTAGCACTGCACATCCTCTCAATGAGGTGCAAAATGAATCCTCTTTGCCTGCTCAACCAAAATCAGCATTTTTGAGCATCTGCCTATTCAGTGTTAAGCATTTTTGTCTCTTTCCATGTAATGTTTTACCTGGTGGGCCTTGTGGTCCTGTGAGACCTAGGGAAATAATGACAAAGGTGTGAAGAGATTAGGAATTGGTCTTTTGGGGAAAGACAGGTAGATGCACAAACAACTTATGGCTGAATACATTTATTGCCATAAACTTAAGTTTCAACAAAGGACGGACTGGCAGACAGACAGCATGTGCTCAGCAGATTCAATGAGAACATTTATTTATTTCTCTCCACCTCTCAAGGCCATCATCACCAAGTCCTTCTTCCTCTTTGTGATCTTCACTGCAGGCAAGCTCTTCTGCTGCCAGTCTTGTCTTTCCTTTCACCACCTTGCCCAACACTGCTCCCTATTACTAAGTATCCTTTACACTTTTATGTAGGCATTGCGTGTGCTAGCTATATGACTTTGCCACTTATACCTTGGTGTTTGCTATCTATACAGGTGATGGGGAGATGAATGTCTCCAAACACCCAGGGGAGCTGGACCATCCCCTTTCCTCAGGTTTCACTGCATGGGTTCACATGTAACGGCGACCCATTGTGGTAAATGCCAGGCATCTATCACCAGCCATGGTTACTGTATTCCCTCCCACCAGCCTCCTTCCCTCTCATTCCTCCTGGAGGCATTGCTGCAGCTGTCAGGTCATCTCCCTTGCGCAAACAACCTGAAGCACAATGGGGGATGGGGAGCTGATCAGGGATCTCTGGAGCAGGAGGCAGGGGTGTCCGATCCACTCTGTGCTGCTGCCCCATTCGCAAATACCATCACTGAGCAGATTGCAGGCTCTTGCCTCTTCACTGAGAGCTTTCAGACAGAAGGTGGAGGAGGTGATCTGCTTGGAGGCACTGCCCTGGCTCCATCATTGTGGTCGCCCCACTGAGCTCATGGCCGACCCTCCCACTGCATGCTGGAGCAGCTTACTCCAAAGCAGGGACTTGGAAGGGAGGCAGTGGGCTTGGTGATCAAGTTGCCAGTTCCCAGTCAAGTTAAGCCACACAGGCAAGAGTTGGAATGGCAGGTAAAGGCAGCAATGCAGCAATGATAACTGGTTCTTGCTTCCCACCCAAGAAAAGATCTCTTAGGCAGGAAGCAGGAGTGAGTGGGACACCTCTCACAGCTGTTCCAAACTGGGGAGTTGTCAGTCATGCTTTCAAGCCAGCTGCTTAGGAAGAAAAGTTCAGATGACACAACAAACAATCGTGGTAGGAAGAAACCCTAAGATTGTTGTGTCTTATCATGGTTGGCAATCATGACAAACCACAACGGATGGTCACCTTAACTAGACAACAACACAGCAGTGAATGCTAACCATCAATCTGTTCTGTTGTGCAACCAGTCAGTTGTGAATTTGCCATTCCTTTAATTTCAAGACCCTATTAGTACAGTGGAAGAAACAGCCCAAGCACACACATGCACTTTTACATATTTTAAGGATGATGACACCTCCCCAGTAGTGCTGTTTACATGCATTCAGGCACCAGATTGCAATCCAGCACCATTACCTGTTCCAAAATTCATAGCAATCATATCTTTTCCACCCTAACTCATAGCTCACCCTTGTTTACATGGACGTCCTCTTTCCTTGCTGACCCAAACTGTTCCATCCCCATTCCTCTCCTGATGAGAGTTTCATGTTCCTTCAAGGACAGCACCAAGATCTGGCATTTCATTTACTCAATTAATAGGTTCTTCCTCAGCTCTAGTCTAAAGATTACTACTACAGAATGTTTATATGGCAAAGATGCAATCTCCAGATTTTCCAGGACAATTCTTTTCCTTAGAAAATAGGCATTTTAAAATTTATATTGAATTACCTGGCTGCCCTGCATCTCCAGGAGGTCCAGATGGTCCTCGTAGGCCTGGTATTCCCTTAAGACCCTGCTCACCTAAGAATAATCAAGATGTAAAGAGAGTATTAGCATTTTCACTTTATGCAGCAGTAATGCCCACTGAAATTCAGGACTGGTCACATCACTGGAACTGCACTATGTCTAAGTGAAACACTGATAAGAATCCATAGTGAATGCTTTCAAATGTATTTAATTCCATAATTCCATATTGGAGAAGTCCTAGCTGAGGAGCCACAGTGTTTGGAAGAAACTCTATTACTGCGCCTTGACACCCCCCCCCCCGACTCCATTCCTCACCAACACCAATTTCCTGTTGGTTGTAATATTGCTCCCAGTCAGACACATTTCCCAGCAAGGGAAGAGTGGTCTGTAAGAGAAACTCTCGGGGAGGGATTGGAGAAAACATGTGTGTGTGGTTCCCAATCCCTGAGCAAGCATCACAGTGACCCGTGGGGCCACAGCGTTGTGCACCCTGGAAAAGTATGGTACTTCCCCGCCCCCATCTGATCCTCTGCACTGAGTAGCATAAAACAAGGCATTAAAAGATTATGTAAATGTGCCTTCTGACAATGATTTATTCACTGAATATGTATGTCCAGGTCCATTTGGTGTTATGTTTCTCATGCTTTCGTCTGCCACGAGAAGAAAGGAAAGAGCAATAGTTTACCTCTGTGGCCTGGGCTTCCATCTGGGCCAGGAGGACCTGTAAAAGCAGAGGAGTCTGTTAGTTATGGCTGAAATTGCTCCACAGTATCTATTTATTTGCTCAATGCAAAGCTAAACAGATCATTTTAAAGTCTTCAGTGGAATTGTTTATACTGAATGTACACACACTGTCTAACTCTTGGCTGAACCGATACTGACATTTATTGTCTGACAGCAGAACACATACTTATATTCTTGCTCCACAAATGAGCCATTCACACATAACCCTAAAACATGCACATATGTAGACCAAACCTCCTCCATTTGCAATCAAGGGAAACACCATATAGTGAGCTCTACTTTATTCATTTCTTTGGTCCATCAGATTGTTTTCAAGTCCGACTCTTATGTTCCAAGAGTTCTAGAGGCTGTGTGGCAGAAATCTTGAAATGTCACAATACTATATTGCTACTCACCTGCAGGTCCTTTAGCTCCTGGTTCACCTGGAGGCCCAGGCAGTCCTCTGGGACCTGGCTCACCTGCAAATCAAACCATCAGAAATGGCTTCAATATATGTCCATAAATGTCTTAAGTGATAGCAGCAAGTATGAGAAAAAGAGGGGTGAATTATGTAAACCCCTTCCTTTACCTGACTATTTAACTTCACTTAAATATAACCATTCAGACAAGCAACCTGGCTGGCTCTATACCTTAAGCTGTGCAAGAGCCTTTCAGTATTTATGAATGTGAGGTTGACCTTTGCAGCAGATTTGGTACTAAACCCCATCAGTGCCTGTGTCACTTAGAGGCTCTGTTGTAGCTGGCATTTGACAGAGGCCCACCTTGACTCCACACCTTGCCAGGATGCTGCTAGAGGCTTGTTGATGCTTGGTTCTGTTGTTTTAAGCCCACATGATGCGGACAACATGTATGCCAGATCTCTTCTCAAACTACTTCAGCTTGAAGACCATGTTCAGTTTTGGAAGTGCTCCCAGGAGCCATGGTGGGCTGAGCCAAAGGCAAAACCACACCCCACAGTATATTTTAGCTTACAATTCTTTAGCCCAGGAAAGAAAACATGGGAATGTTGGGAAATCACCAAATGATTGGAGGTCAGGGAAAAGGGTGGTGCAGCCAGGGAGAAGGGGCATGTCCCTTCAGGATACCTGGAGATTCTAAGGAGTTGAATTTGACCTGTGAGCCTGAGTTTCAAAGCTCCTAACTTACATTATCACTGTTATGAAGCTTGCTCAACAGTACTAGCCTTGTCTACTAGTGAGCAGATGGTTGGAAGGAAGGAAGATGAAGGCAAAAGGATGGTCTCTACACCATGCCACAGAACTATGAGTGAAACCCCTCAGACTGAGGCGTTGTGCCTGAATAAGAAATTGCAGCCAAGCATGTTACTGAGGCCACTCTGTCTTTTGAACAGGAAGAACACAGAGTTCTCCTTAGGATGAGGGTGAAGCCCCTCATTGCATGCCTATCCTCAAGGTACTTAGTCCCTATGGGCAATATTGTTGTTCATGTGATATCATTTCAAAATCCCTGATAATTTTATACATACCTGTAAGACCCCTAGATCCTTTCTCTCCTGGATCACCTAAAAGGAAAATGTGGAGACAGAAGAGTTAATATTGTGTTAATATTAACTGAAACTTAACAACATTTTTCCATCACAACCAAAAAACCTTCCTGACTGAGGTCCCCACACATGAGTTTCATTGTGTGGAAGGAAACGTCTACTAGGTGTTGAGAAAGTACTTCCAATGGACTGACGTACCTTTGGGTCCAGGTGCTCCTGCGGCTCCCCTTTCACCTGCGTGACACACAGACAATGGACTTAAGAAAGAAGAACACTGGAGGGAAAACATTATTCCACCATGGAGGGAAAATAACAGTGAAGGTAGTCTAGTGTCCACTTTCCTAACTAAGGAGTCCTCACACTCAAGATGTCCTAAATTCCCAAAATAATCTGAATGTGGCCAAGATGGAATCCGCAAACAATAGAAATGAACATGCTTGATTCCATCCAGTTGTCACAGAGGAAGAGAGTGGAAGTGGTTGGCCCTGCTGATAGATCATTTGGCTTCTTCCTGCTTGGCTTGTCATGTGACTTTAAAAACTACAGTTTGCCTATTTTCCTCTTCCCCTTTTCTTTTTATGTTGGGCCTTGTGGATTATAATCTCGTGGACAAGCACTAGCCTCTTTCAGTGATCTTAAGTAAGACACTCCAGGAGATTTTTGGATAGATAGATAGATAGAAATATTAATCAATATTATTCAGAAGCCTTTTCACCAGCCGATATACAGAAAAAAAATAGTGCATGCCATTTGGAAGAATGTACAAGGCTCTATCCCCTTTTCTTTTGTATTGCTCCATGCATGTATACGAGTATATACAAACACTCAGTTTTTAGAACAATCATTCTCACAATTATGTATGTTCTTCATGTTCTTTGTTTTTAGCTTCAGGAAATGCTGCCTTGACCCTCCTCAGCCTGGTGTCCTCCAGATGTTTTGGAATACAACTCCCATCACACCCAGTCAGCATGGCCAATGGTCAGGGATGCTGGGAGCCATAGTGCTGAATGCCTGGAGTGCACCAGGGTGGGGAGGGTTGTGCTTTGAATGCACCCCAAAACTGCAATTCAGTAGCTGTTTCCAAAATATTCTCATTCCTGTCACCTCAAATGTGTAGGCTTTGAGTCATACCTTTAACACCTGGGCTACCTGGTTCACCTCTGAATCCTTGCATTCCAGAAGGACCTACAAGAAAAGCAAGATCAGAAATAGTTATGCAGGTGCTAACTTAGTACATTTTTTGAAAGACAGAAAAGAAGTCATATTCTCATACACACACACAAGAATGGATGAGAGAGAGAGAGAGAGAATAATTTTATTTCTTTTTGTTGGTGTAGCTTTACTGCTAAGGGCTAGGCTGATGCAATGTGCAGATGCTGCCCAGTTACAAGACCATGCCTTACTGTACTTTACAATATGCTACACCATGAAGGCAAGAGACTCACCAGGAGGACCATGGGGACCTGGAGAACCCATCACACCTGGGAAAGGAAACGTTGCAATGTTTCAGAAACTTTGGGATCATGGGACTGAAATATGAGCACCTCATGGTGCAGACTACTACTCGGTTTGTATGCAAAAGAACTTATTTACCTTTAAGACCCGGGATACCTGGTGGGCCTGGAGGTCCTGGTTCTCCAACAGGACCTGCAGAGTAAAATGTAAGAGAATTCTATTAGATAATGGGTTGAAGCCCAATTCCTTCTGTATTGTTTCTGCATCATATTAAATGGGTCCCCTATGCAGTGCCACGGTTTGTTACTATGCAAAGTACTAGCAAGTAGGTGCATCTCTCCTTGATCCTAGAAATGGAATGCTGTTCCTTCACAAGGTTGCTAACTAGAGATTTTGTGGTCCGCAAGGCCCACGTGCAGGATAACTATTTAATTTATATCGGTAAATGACCCATAAAGTGACTAACAACAACAAAAAGTGCGAACCCCAAAAGGCAGGCAACCCTAGCCTCCCTCTGCAGAGAGTTCTCAGGAGCAGCCAGAAAGAAAGTCCTCTGTCACTAAGAAGCTCCAAGCACCCCCATGATGGTGGCGACGTTGAAAGAATGGCCTCCCCTAATGATCTGAAGCCTGGTTGGGCTCATAAGAAAGAAAGCAGTATTTCAGGTCGCCTGGCACCATGCTGTATAGGGTTTCATAGATTATAATCAGCACTTCGCATTATGCCAAGCAAGTGACAGGTGGCCAATGAAGCTGTTTTAACAAAGGGACGGCATGCTCCCCGGAGCTGGCTCAGGTCAACAATCTAGCCGCAGCATTCCAAACTAGCCAAAATTTCTGAACAGATTGCAAAGGCAGCCCCATGCCGAGCATGTTGCAGTGGTCCAATGGGATGTGTGACTGTGGCCCGATTAGGCTGTAAGGCCGTAGCTCTAAGTTAGGCAGTGCTGCAGATTGTGTTTTCAATAGTGTTTTCTAATTCCCTCTTTTCATAACTTCATCCCTTAAATCTGCCCATAAGCATACATTGGAAGGCACCCAGAACTCTACAGACAGATAAGGTATTGTTCTTCCTGCCACAAAACAAAACAAACAAAACAAAACAAAACAAAACAAAACAAAACACACCAGATGGCTTTCTTTTATTGGATCCCATTATTCATTTGAATGACTGAGTGTTGGCAGCCCACATCTGAGTATCTGAATGGGATAGTCTTGATTTCCAGCCTTGAGGGTACCCGTGATTAATGAATAATTAAAGAACAACAGGCAGTGCATTATTTGGAAACAAACTAATCAGTTTTGGCCACAAGGCCCAGATCTCTTGACATTTATGTCACTTAGACACATGCTGTCTCTGACATTCAGTTTATGTAGGACAAAGAGAATGTCAAAAGGCCTACTGAGGGCAGAGCAACATGCCCCAGAATTTTCTGCAATGTTCAGGGATATCTATCAGACACTCTTTGACAGACAAGTTGATGTGGAAGGTATTCTTAAACAGAGAATCTTTCATAGTCACTGATACTATCTTTGCAGAATCCTAGGGAAAAAAAACCCTTCTATTCAGAGGGAACCCTCCCACTCCCAATACCTTTGTAACTTCAAAGACATAGTCACATTATGTAGGAAAGTGGATCATAAATTCATTTCTTATCCTTTCACCTTTCTGTGCATTTCCAGGTATCCCAGGCTCCCCACGAGGTCCTTGCGGTCCCTCACGCCCTCTTTGCCCCATGGGACCCTCCATGCCAGTTTCACCTGTATAAAAAAAATCAGTAGCTCAGGAACCAGGTTTCAACATCGGACATGTTCTACATGTGTATGCCCATAAACATGCACCCTCAATGTAGCCTTCTAGGCTGCAAAGGTTATGCATCCCTGATATATAGAGGTAAAAGAGTTTGAACAGTCTGAAGTTTCCACAGTGGTCACATGTTCCCCTTTACAGAAGACAGTTCTCTACTGAAGGACTACTAGAAGACTATCCTCTAGTTTGAAGGAATCCTATTTGAAGGGTTATTTGTACTGTGTTTATTTATTGTATGTAAGCCGTCCCAAGGCTCATAAGAATGGGACAGCATACAAACAGTGTAAATAAATAAATAAATAAATAAATAAATAAATAAATAAATGGGCTGTCCACTCTAAGTCTGCTATATAAAACCATCAGAAGAAAAAGGCAGGATTTGAAGTCACATTAACAATGCCCAGATAGTAAACTGAGCAAGGCATACTTGCCTTTCACACTATTTTCAATTTGAACTCCATCACTTCTAAATTTCTGTCTATACCTATAAGGTGGCATGGCATTTTTTCAACTTGTTGTCCTCTTTTCTGATGCATTTCCTCCTTTCTGTAGATACTTAAGTGACCCTAGAAGTTTCCTCTGCTAAGCCAGTGAAACGACTGGCCAGTTCTGCTTACCCTTGCTGCCCTTCTGTCCATCAGGTCCAGGGTGACCTTTCGGACCTGGAGGACCTGTTAGAGAGAAAGTATATTAAAGAGAGCTTAGTTGTGCCATTTTCCATCACTCACATTTTCCGCATGTTTTGCTTTCTCTGTCTTCCTCTATGTTTTATTCAGGCACAAGGTTGTATAGCAGTACAGTGCAATTAGTGATGAAATGAGTCATCCTGTTGGACCTTTCTAATTTAATATCTCATAATCCTTGCTCTGAAAAAGCTGCAAAAATTGCTACAAAGTGCAGGAGAGGAGGATGTCAAAGGACCTGCCTACTTCCGTCAGCAAAGTCTCATGAACAATAAATGCCTCATGGAGAGCAGCTCCAAAACTCCAGAAGAGGCGTGGGTAGTCTACATTTGTAATGGTAGTTGTAATGCAGCCATATTTTCCATTGAAATGGAACCCTTCACATGCAATGTGGTGCTTGGAGCCAAGCAACATGAGCAGCCACGCACCCGGAACAAACGCCCAACAGAATTTTTCCTGAGGAAATAGCTTTCCCTTTCCAAGGGGGATATTTGGAGCACAGAAGGATGTGAGGTGGGGCAGGAAAGTGCTCAACCCTTTCTACTTCCCAGCCCCATGAAGATACAAACACTTATAGTATTTGCTCTCATTTAGAAACTCCTGTTGGAATATGCAGCTTTAGGGGTCATATGAACCAGAAATGCTATGAACAGGGGAAAAGGCGTAAGTACCAACTCCTCTGTGGCCCCACTTCACATGGCTCCTTCATAATGATATAATGATACATTTACATAAAAAATGCCGCCACCACTGGGGCAGAGAGAGGCAGGGAGATGTTGGATAACAGAAATTTGGGGGCCACATGGTTTGTACTACACGCCCACAAATTAGTCTGTTTCCCTTTGGTACAGGGGAGGACCATGAGACATTACAGGTATTAAAGCAAGATTCAATTTACTGTGCAGCAGCTACTGTGTCTGAAGTAGGAGTGATTTCATTGTGTCCTTTGCCTCAGGTGGCAAAATGTCTTGGGATGGCCCTAGCCTAAAATAGCAGAATTCTCCCTAGGAGATATCCAGAAAGGGCTCTTTCTGCCACCTTTCTGCATTAGCACCTTTGAAACCTACATGCAGGCATCAGCTTAAAAACAAAGGGGAACAAGTACACCGTCAGGTGAGCTGGGACGAAATTAACGCTGCAACCGCATGCATACTTCCCTGTGAGGAAGCCTCAAGTGAACATTGGGACTGAATTCTGAGAGAACCTGCATAGCATCGACCCATAAGATTAGAGCACATGTCATTTTAATGACTCTAGTACTGCTTGCTTTATGTGGGGACTTTAAGTCAATGGAAGTTAAAACCCTTTTTTTCTAAATTCTAACTTCAAGAAGGAACCATTTAGTTCTTGGGACAGACATAATAGTGTCCCAGACAGTTGGAAAGACCACATACAATTGGGTTTGGTATTGATTCTGCCTACCTGGTATGCCAGGGAACCCTTGCTCTCCTGCAGAAACAAAGAAACAGAGTTAGTGATGGAAATTGTCAATAGTGACTGTTGGTTCTTTCTCTTTCAACCAACTGGGGACTGCCATCCCTTCCAAAAGCCAAAGAGGAGCTTTATGCCTTTCCGCACATCACCACTGGTAAACTTTGTGACATGACTCTCTGCCTGTTCATGAGGTTTAGCAAACTGCCTCCTGGTGAATCAAAAATCCTGTTTGCATATTGCAAGAGCAGGAACTCTTCATCCCAAGAACATGAATGAGAAAGTGAATAAGGTCTCTCATGGAATTTAACAACTGACATATCCCACTAATTTGGAGGATTTTATCTTCAGTGTATATATTTCTTCTCTACTTAGATTTGTTAGTGTATTGTACCAAGCTAGCTCTCCAGTAAAATAGACTATAGAATTTCCTAACTTCATGTCATACTAAAATGGTTGGTATGACATATACCAATCTGCTTACCTCTTTTGTTTTAGGAATTGTTGTCTAATATCAAATATTAGATGACATGGGTGTTTAGATTACTGATTCTTATTTTTTCTCATTCTTTTAAATATGCCCAGTTAGAAATATCTGTAAAAGTTTATTGCCTCAACCTGGTTGTATCTGGTAGCTATTAAAGTTTCATTACATGCACATATTCGCATGTACATAAAGAAAAGGCATCCAAGATCCACACTTGGCAAACACGTTTGTGGAAGCTTTTGTGAAATTATTCTTGGTACTCCTGCCCAACTGTGTATTGGGAATGGTTTCCCTTCATGGACCACCATGACTATCTTTGCATTTTAGGTGCTTTGGGAAGAAACAAACTGATGATATCCCAAATATGTTGGTGCTGTGGAAATCTGAACTCACCCTTTGGTCCTTGTGGGCCCATATCACCTGAGCAGGGGGGAAAAGCAGGAAAAGAAAGTCATGGGAAAGTTTGCTTGTTTCACTACTTCTCTCTAACTCCTCACACATAGCATGAATTTTCAGTTCATTAAAGGGAAAAGGCAGCTCATTAGTTGAGCTGGCTTATTCTCTATGTCACCTTCCTTTGTATGTTTTTTTGAAGAGAAGTATATTTTTCCTATGATTTCTCTTAATTTTAAGCAAAAATTACACCCATTGTATAAATTTACAACTTTTTGAAAATGGATTGAAATGGTTATCATGGCTTACCACAGAGAATCACAAGAATATATAGTATTTTAGGTTCCTTTAAGAATGACATTTCTTGGCCAAGAAATGTCATCTTTTGCTTTTCTTTTATTGTGAAAGAAATCATGACAGATACTCTTTCAGTTATAGGAGAACCATGAATGAACAATGAAAGAGATTTCTGTAGAATACTAAAAAAGAAATGTGCCAAATGGCTACCTTTTTGTCCTTGCAAATAACCTGTAAAAGAAAAGAGAATAATAATCAAATTTCCATTGTACAAACAATGCCAAGGTATTTCTGGTTTAATGCTATGGTAGAAGGCAGTGCAATTAAGTGGAAGAACAATGAATTCTGGAACCGATTCAGCAGTCATTCTTTGCCTACCTCCCTGCATTACACTGAGGTTGTATGAACATTTTATAGGATGCTTAAGAACAATGAATTGAAATGGCCTCCAGGGGGGAAGCTTTTAGGAACCAAATTTGCTCCTAACTGCTCTAGGATAATGTCTGCTGATATGGCAGCATTATTAAAGGGAAGAAGAATCTCAAATAACCCAGGGAATAAACACATCTCCTCTGATCTATATTCCTGAAAAACTCTAGAAATAAACTCATTGGTCTTGAGTAATGGAAACCAAAATGCAGCATGGGGCCTTGGATTAGACCTGAGAAACCTGGTGGTCAAAGGGGTTCCCTAGCACTTCCTTACCACCCTCAACCCAGGTTTTGGCCCCTTGTTCTACGCAGAGGTGGCCAGGCTTGTTCAACAGAAGAACCATGTACAGTAAATGTCAGATGTTGGAGAGATACAAGTAGGCACCTGTGGATGGCAGCAGTGGGCAGTGACTGGCAGGGAGCCACAAAATGAACTCCAGGAGGCACATACAGCTCCTGAGCCACCTCTGTTCTAATCTCTTGCTTGGAGATTATAGCTTCTCTAACCTAAGATGGGGCTCACCCATCCCAGAGCAGAAAGATATAGCCATATGCCCAAGGAGACAGAGAGTGCTTTTCTCTGTGTGGAGAGTTTGTTGCCTTTTAATTTCTCATTCTCTCTCTCTCTCTCTCTCTCTCTCTCTCTCTCTCTCTCTCTCTCTGTGCATATGCGCGCATGCATGTGTGAGTGAGTGACTGAGTGAGTGAGTGGGGCGGATGGTAAATAGGAGCCAGTGTGGTAAAAGGATTAGAATATTGGAATGAGGAGATCGGCTGTAGTCCCAATCAGTCATGAAGCTCACTGATGACTTTGGACAAGTCAAGACAACTCTCAACACAACCTATCTCATAGGGCTGTTGTGAGGATAAAATGGAAAGGAAGAGGATCATGTACACCACCTTGTGGCTCTATAGAGGAAAGGTGGAATACAAATTCAATAAACAAACAGGAGCCGGTGTGTGAGAGAGAGAATGAGAGAAGTATGGTGCAAGAATGGAGGAAAGGCTCAGAGAGTAACTGGCTTGTAACACGACCTTTTGTAGGCTGGAGCCTACATTAGATGGCACTGCTTTGTGTATCCAGTGGAGCAATCCAGTTTCTGTTGCAATAAAACTGAGAAGCCGTTAAGATACCACAGTGATTGAATAGTATTTTTATTGCCGTGACATCCTTATTCCCCCCCACTCCTACACACACACACACGCACACGCACGCACAGAGAATTTGCTAAGACTCCCCTGTGGCAGTGGGAGAGAAAATAACAGAGAGCTTGCAGCAGTACCAAAAAGAAAAAAAGAGGGTGGGGGGGGGGACAGAAGCAAAGTTAAGCACAGTGGCTAAACCAGTACAAGTGAATGTGAGAAAATATCAAAAGCATAATACATCATAGAGGGAAATGACAATTTGTATTAGTTTATGCCAGCCCGAGAATCCCCGAGAATTGGAGAGTTTCTAATTCTGTGCAAAGGTTTACTAAACAAGCTGGTGTGGGAAGGATGGACCTAAATTCATTATCCAGTTACATGGCATAAATACAAATCTTTCCTTTGGAAAGGAAGAGAGGAATTAAGTTTAGGCTCAACTCTGCATTATTAAGCCTCTTTCCCCTAATGAGCAGTATTCCTACTTTGCTTGTTTCATTTGCTATGCACTTTTTCAAAACCCTTCATTTGTATCATGAAGGCAGTCTGACTGGACAGCTTTAAGAAAATTAAGACTTCAGTTAGAAAGTCTTTGTCCTGTTCTACTTAGAAGGAAGGGAAGAAGGCCAGTCACAGCAGTTAAGAACATTGCCTTGGGTTGACTCCAAAGCCCATGTCATCCAAGACTCCAGTGTTTCCCTCCACATTAACTGTGTTCTAGAAAATGCAACAGTAGCCCTGAGGAATTCAATAGACTTTCTGGCAAGTTCATAATTTAACTGCCAAATTTCATGGAATTTGGTGAACTTCTTACCTTTATTTATCTCCTTATCTAGCCTGTACTTCATTAACGCCCACAGCTTCTCTTCATTCAGATCATTTGGTCCTGCTTCAAGTCTGCTATATGTCCCCCCTTGGACATCTTTCTCATTGTTAAAGTACTGGAAGCTGCCTTGGGATTCAAGGTTCTCCACACGGGATCTTAGCCTCCTCACTTCCTCCGCTGAAAGGAGAGAGGGAAAAAAAACAAGAATTAAATTGTCCTTAGTCAAATCTACTTTCCTCTATTTGCCACCAAGAAATAACACATTAGTATCAGTATTATTACATTGCATTTATATACCACCTTTTTCCCTTTTGTGAGGAACCCAAAGCAACTTGCATAGTTCCCCAGCTCATTCTTATTCTCATGACTACAGCCATCTGAGGTAGGTTAGACTGAGTGACCAGCCCAAGTTTATCCAGTGAACTTTGTGAGGACTAGAAACCAGAGCCTCCATGTCCCCAGTATAATACTCTATTACACTACAGTGGTTCTATCTCTGCCTCTATCCTGCTTTCCTAAAACAATAATTTTATTGAATTATTGTTGTCAAATTGAGTGGTGGCAGATCTCTTAGAATCAACTTCTTTGAAAGACACGATCAGTCGGCATTTGTAAGCAAATACCTGCTCACATATTTATAACCACAGAGACATTTCTGCCAGGGGACCCTGCGTTATGATAATGTGACGAGCCAAGCAGCCCAGATTGCTCAGTCTTCTAGCTGTGCTGAGACTGTATAAATAACTTGAAAGGTTCTCATTCAGACAGGAGAGTTTCTTCTATTTCTCACTGGGGAAAAGATGACAGTCGAATCTCCTTTCTCTGTTTATTTTTGAAAAACTGTGCCTGGCCCTGAAAACAATTCTTAAACTTTCACCATAACACGTGGTTTACGCTTCCTAGCCATGGTTGCTTTGATTAGTCATTTGCAGGGGACACCTGGTCATTCTGTAGGTATAACCCAGCCCACTGCCTGTTCAGCCGGAATCTCTTACCCAGTGCAATAAGCCCAAACAGTAGGCCAAGGAGGAACAGCCAGGCCAGGAGCAAACCTAGAAGCCACTTCCACCAGCTACAACAGGAAGCACAAGGACACCAGGCTGGGGCCGCACCTGCCCCACCACATCCATCATCACCTCGAACTTCTGGAGTGAGCAGAGACAAGAAAAGTCAAGGCAGGTTAGACATTCAAGCATGACAGCAGCTTAGGCAACAGGGAATTCCAAAATACCCTAACAGGTGCTTATTCACCTTTTTTCAATTAAAAAGTAATAATTTCAAAGTCCCAAGTCTCAAAATTTTATTAATATCGTACCTGAGTAATTCAATATGGAATGGAAACTATTCTTAAAGCCTTCCAGGGAAGCAGAGAGCTTTTCTTGGCTGGAGGTATTTAAATCAAGGCTGGACGGCCACTCAGCAGAGATGCTTTAGTTGCATTCAACATGAGATTAGATTGGATAACCTCTCGGGTCCTTTGCAGTTCTGTACATTATATCTCCAGAAATTGTGATTCTACAACTTCTCCATACAGCACCACTTTGGCCTAATACCTCTTACATTTCGGATGTCTGTGCTTACATTCATCCTAATCCGCTTTCCATCACAGTGACCAGCTAAAAATAGTTATATTTTTTTCTCTTGAATCAAGGTTTAGCTTCCTTTAGTCTACCCTCTTGCATCAGGCATAGGATCTTTATTCCTCCAAATTTTCTCCACATTATCTTTATCTTTTTTAAAAATGTAGTATCCCAAACTTGGTAAGAAATGATGTCATATACCTATTAGGATCATGAGCTGTGGGTGGAATGTCCCAATTTAAATCTCAGCCCAGAAAGGGGTATTAAAAAAATCAAGCTTTTCCAAGATGATTCAGAGTTTCCTCTGGGGAAACTCTTTGACATCTAAATTAAGAACATTATTACTTAAGGCCACAACCTTATACACAGTCTCCTTGAACTCAATGGGATTTAATTCAGAGTAGATTTGTATCAGGTTGCACCATACATTAACTTCTTGCTTTTTCAACAAAAGGTCTGGTGGCACCTTATAAATAACACATTTATTCTGCTTTAAGCTCTGATGGACAGTATCGATGATGCACCATGCTAGACTAAATGTATCATTGTTGTATACCCTGCCCTTCTGCCTCTTGCTCCTTTTACAGATATTATTATGATGGTATTACATTCACACAATCCCTTTATTTAGTTGGGCTCATCTTGAAGGTTCTATAGGACTGTTGATTCTGCAGCAACAGACTAACTCTGCTTCCCACTGCAAACAGCTTACATTTTGCTTTCTTCTGCAAAATGGATTTGTTCAATTGTGCAATCACAAAACTGGACCAACCCAGACCCCGTGGTATCAGTGTTCTAATTTCTAAAAGTAAGAATGAGCTTGAATAAACACTGAGTAACGAACAATGGTGAACAATCATCAGGGAGATTTTGGGAAGAGATACTCTGAGCTCAGCCCATTTACATCACGCTGCTAAATGAGCTTTTTTGCAGCTCATGTTTAATGCAAAGAACCTCTCCAGTGCAATTCCCAACAGACTTTTCTATAGTGCCATATTCTTTGGATTGTAGCTGTTGGAAAGCAAGTAACCAGAGCCACATAAAGGAAGTGTGTGTATGGCAAAGTTACCCTTTATGAATAACTTCTTATTGTAAGGTATACATTTTACTGAACAATATTTGAAATATGTTATTTGCACTTCCCCACTAAGGAAAAACTACCCACCTGCATAGGTGGCTTTGTCCTTTGTAGAAACAGATTTTAGTCCTCCTATACAACAACAAGAACAAAGAAATAACTTCTGCATGCAGTCTCATTCTTTGTGCTAAGAGAAGTTTAAGCCAAAGCAGCTGCCAGTCCAAACAAGGGCCACAAAAATAGCTTCTTTAATAGTTTTATTGTTCAGTTACCTGAGACGCTGCTTTGCATTTTTCACCATCAAGGGGCAGGAAAAATATTGTAATAGTTAACATAATCTACAATAGCACTACAAAAAATGAATATGGAAACCCCAAAACAGGAAACTATACTTGCAAATAACCTTCAGATACATAACGTTGAAGAACTGTAGGGGCATTTCCCCTTGCAACAAGGAATAACTGTAAAAACCAAAGTCACAAAAAAAAAAAAAAATGTAGAGGAACTCTGAAGTAACAGTAGAAGTGAGGTGACCCAGAAGTGAAGTAGTCCTGAATAGCTCTTGGAAGATTTTAAAAGTAAGTGAAAACTTGCCCTTGATAAAAAGGGACTTGTCAGGAACAGGAATATTCTAATTGCTTCCTAGCCATGATTTATTTCTCCTGTGCAAAAGAGCAGGAGAGTGGGGAGAAAGGACCAATGCAGCTCTTTTATCATGTATACATTTCAGAAGTCAAAACTGGCAGGCAGCTCTGAGTATGTTTCCACAGTAAAGAGTCATGCACACAATTTTCAAACACGATAGTGCACACAAATGTACACAGTTATTTCTATGCCTATATAGGAAACATTTTTTCTATGAAGTAGTCCTACATTTCCACATCAAGGCAATGAATAAAAATATACCGTTTGATTCTGATTTCAGGTAGGAATCTCCAGTATAAGCAGCATTGGCCTGCTTGTCTTTCTTTAGGGTGTCTTCAGTATAACAGCCTGTGGAGGACCCAACAAAAACCTTGTTTGCTGCTAGCTTAACACAGACTTCATTCTCAGCTTGTGTTTCAAATCTTCCCTCGTTCTATTGGCATATAGTTAATATATACATTGAAGCAACCATCTGCATTAAATATGAATCCACTCTGCTGGGTTTACCAGCACACAAACACAGATCACCAACTGTTATGAATTTAAAAGCAATCTGTGGGACCCTGAGAGATGTTGTCAGCCCAAAACTTTCTTGGACAGCAAGGCTGAAATAGCTCTACACATGAATAACTGCTGCTGTTATCTTATCAGAAAGGCACAACGAGCAGAGATGTAACATGGAACAGCAGCCTGGAAGGACTATCCACATAACCACTTCGGCATGAGCAATAAATCATACAGTCTGCTTCCAAGTTCATGGCACATTGGTGATGTTTCTCCTTATTCAACCCACCGCTGCAAATGCTCAGAAATTGCACACAGCAGAGGATATGCATAGGTGTGAGCTGGTACATGCAAAATTGCCCAGCCCTCTTCTTAGGACTACTACACCATTGTGTGCAAAGGTCTTGTTGGCACAGCCAAATCAGACCTGTGCTAACTTCATCCTGGGGGCAGAAAGGTGTGTTATAAATAAAATTAAATTAAAAAAAACCTCGCACTCACACTGACTGGCAGCAGTGATGGTTAGGCAGGGAGCTACCATATGGTAGATAGCATCTACCTCATGGGATGGGGCTCAGTTAATGCAATAAAACCCTCAAAACAAACAAAACCCTCCATATATGCATATTCGAATCAGTTCCTATATTACCACAACGGCACAGGGACAGCATGCTAAACAATATTCTGCATGAAGGAGCCATGCTATTTTCCCATGTGTACATTGTTGGACTAGCCCAAAACTAGATCCTTGGGAAGCAGTGGCTTCTACACTGCTGTGGTAACATCTGAGTTGAGTCCAAGTGGTCAATTTGTGCATTAGGAGGAAGAGAAAGGAAACAAACCTCCGCTGAGCCCAGCGCTGGATGCACTGAAAACTTTCCCATTGTCCTTGGTCATGATCAACAGCTCCATCTCTTTTTTGGGAGTGACATTCTCTTTCTCTAGGAGCAGGAACTTGCAGTCTTTGCGCAGGAAGTCATCATGCTGAGATCCTGTGGTGGCGGCTGCTGGGGGACATGGAAATGGCGGAAGGTAAGGAAGGAGACAGTGGCAGCCTACGAAGTATGCACTACCCTACAAATGGGTCTGGTTCAAGACATTTTGCTTCTTGTAGTGACTTGCAAGATGGCGCCTCTCCTCATTCCATGTGTAAATCTCAAGCAGGCTGGCAGTGGAGCATGTTAGGGGGTTGCACAGCATTCTGAGAGCAGCATGGAGTCCTGTCCTCCATTAGTTTGTAACCAGTCCCTGCCCCAAAGTATCTGTTGCCTGAGACTCCCATCTCACTCTGCCTAAGGGTACAAGCAGCCCCGTCTAAAATGTTTTTTTCCAACCTCAAAATAGAGTTTGGAGATTTGAGGTCTAGTATTCCACATTTAGGGCATAGGATTAGACATATGCTCTGCTGAGCTGGGAGAATGCCAGATAGGCCACTGCCATGTCCCCTGTGCCAGCAGACTGCCCCAGGTAGCCAGAAGTAATGGCTGTGCTGGTAGATATTGGCCCTGGCTTATCTGGAGAAGGTTGATGAGGTCCTCAGGCTGGGTGCTTGTGTGCTAAGTCTGGCACCTGGTATTCTGGAACAATTCCACAGAGCTTTCTGGACTCTCTTGGGAGAGACTTCCTGGGGTCACATACTGGGGACATGGCCACATTGATGCTTATGTGTGCACTGAGGGAGGGAATGCTGCTATCTTGCACACAATCCCTAGTCCAGCTGAGATGAGTTGGCTTCTTCTGTTTCTAGGCGGTGTGGGACATACAGTCTCTGCCCTGAACTGTGGGCTGTGGCAGTGTTTCCAAAGATGCTGGCCTTTGGTGGACACTTGGTGGCATTCTAACATTTTTCTTCCTTCCACCTTCCAATCTCCTCGCACTGGATGATGGGGAACTTGGAAAATAATAGGAACTCCGTAATTGCCTTCAAAGGCCAATTGCAATCTTTCCCAAATGTATTGGACTACAATTCTCATCATCCCCCAGAAAGGGATGATGAGGATTGCAGACCAGCACTTTTGGTAGAGGATTTGGGAAAGATTGGCTATAGTGCATATCAGGCATGCAAATAGAAAATAGCTTTGTCTTTGATTTATTCAACAAGTCTTTGTCAATAATTTTTCTGTGAAGATAATCCAAACTCTGTGCCACACTACAGAGGCTATAGATATGGTTATGCAATAAGGTAGCGTGATGTAAATCAAAGCTTGCTACACTTCAAAGAAAACTGCTGCAGCACAGGCATTAGGGAGAAGATGAACTAGTTCTCCAACTGCCTTCAGATAATTTTATACTTAATTCCAAAATGCAAGAGCGGCATCTAGTGGATCATATGGTTGACAATGCCCATTGATAGGGCTGTCTTGCTGCTCAGCCATGTGGCTTAGCAGAAGGAGAAGCTGTTCCAGGCAGCATAATAAATGTTCAGCTTTACAGGAGAGGCGCATATTTTCTCCAGAGGAATTGTTCCCAGAGGTTTTTCCACAGCTGTCAGTGAGCCACCCAGAAGATCCCAAGGCAGCCTCACAATCGTCTTTAAAATGGTTGTTAGATGTTTGTTGCTGGGAAATCAGTGGATAGGGTCATCCCACTAGCACAAAGGATGCTGTGCCTTTAAGTCCCAAATATACCCGGCCGGGGTGTGGGGGTAGGATCTGAGCAAAGTTGCGCTTGCACAGCGGGTTGCAGATCTTAAGTTTAAAGGGCAGTTTGCCGGCACTTGTGCAACTGCTTGTGCAATGGGAAAAGGCAATGGAGCTTCCCTGGCAGAGCAGTTTCTGCTACTTATAGTATAGTGGCTTTAGGCTGGTATTTCCCCACCAGATAAAACTACTGTGATGATTTTGTGTCACAACGGAAGTTGCACAAATATTATGGTTGCCCATGAGCCAGCACACGGAACAATGCCATGGAGCAGCCTCCGTCTTTTTGAACATATGCCCAGTCTTAAGCGGTGTTCCCCTGTCTATCTTTTTCCTCATTCCATCCTAGGCCTTCTCTTCTCATGCACGACTGCTACAATATTAAACAAAACCCTCCATCTGTGGTGCTCTGTGTAGCATTTACAGGGACTGGATGGGTTGCCATGGGGAGGACAAGGCAGCGAAGTTCACTTATGCCACCCTAGTGGTTTGTACTTAAATATGGATCAAATCTGATGATTTAACCAAGACATAAAAGACTCTTCTATTCTGTCTGTCTTCACTCCTCTATGATAAACCAAGAAAGACAAACAAAACAAAACGCACACGTTCTGTCTGGCCCAGTCTGGTATCATCAGTCGGTTGATGACACACAGCTCTATGTCTCCTTGTCATTGTCCGAAGGCAAGGCTGTGGCTGAGCTGAAGTGGTGCCTGGCTGTGCCAATGGACTGGATGAGGGCTGACAAACTGAGAGACTGAAATGCTGTTGGTGGGTGGCTCCTTTTACACCTGTTCTAGGTGGGCTCACACTCCCCCTGAAGGAGCAGGGTCATAGCTTGGAGGTGCTCCTTGATTCACCTTTGCCACTTGAGGGTCAGGTGGCATCAGTGGCCTGGAGTGCTTTCCACCAGGTTCGGCTGGTGGCCCAGGCATGCCCCTTCCCAGACAGGTATAGCCTGGCTTCAGTAACCTACGCTATGCTAATTTCAAAGTGAGATTACTGCCATGCACTCTGCGTGGGGCAGCCCTTGAAGAAGGTTCAGAAGCTGCAGCTGGGGCAGAATGTGGCAGTCAGACGAATACCTGGAACCCACAGGTCAGAACATGTAACACTGCACTGGCTTCCTGATCCCAGTTCAAGGTGCTGGTTTTAACCTGCAAAGCCTTACATGACTTGGGACCACAATATTCCTTAGAACAGGTTTTGTAACCAAGATCAGCTCAGACGCCCCACTCAGCCTGGAGCCTTCCTCCAAGGGTCAACTCTGCAGGAAGTGTGGAGGTTAAGACAGCCCCCAGAGGCTTCAGCGGGATCCCCTTGTGTTTCACAGAGCCATTTTTTGCTCTTGTATATTTTTATCATCTATTTTTCGCTGTTTTAAACGTTTTATTTTCTTCTGATTTGATTATATTTTAAATTGTATTTTTATCAACTTTTTTTATGGAGTGTTGTAAACTGCCCAGCTTTAGCAGCTCCCTGTTTCAGCTGTGGGGCAGTATAGAGAGAGATAGACAGACAGACAGACAGACAGACAGACGGGAAATACACAATTTCTCAATTGCATGGCAAATATGTACTGCTACAGAGTGCATTCTACCAGTTCTGTAGAAATTCCATGACCTGTGAAAGGAGAGAAAGACTCACCAGTTGTAGATGAGGTAGACACTCCAGTGCTGGTCACACCAGAGCTCTGCATAGTATTTTTCTTTACTCCATATGCTGCTGCAAGAAAGGGAGAAAGGCAGGGGAAGAGAGAAGACATTTTCAACTCACAGTTGCTCAAAGCCAAAAGGCGCAATCAAGATACCTGCTTGCCCCAGCACTGGGAACACCAAACAAAATAGCAGAAAGCATATATTTCTAGGAAAAGGCTCTGAGAATGAACAAATGACCATCGATCCTTTTCTGAGATGTTGAAGGGTTTCACATTCATTAGCCCACTAATCATTCCAGCCACCTGCAAGGTTGTCAATATCACTGGGGGAGTCTGGTGCTACCAGCACAGCTCAGGCATGATGCTTGCTCTCCCTTCTCTGATAATCACGCCTGAGTGTTTGAGCAGGTCCAGTATGAGCCTGTCTTCTCACTCCCATTTTGGCCAGCTGCTCTTGCTCCTCGTCTTATTTCTCTGTGTTGCTCCCATTGGCTTGCTCGACAGGCAGAGAGCCAGGCAGCAAGTGGGTGGTGGTACCTACTGCCCCTTCTCGTCATCACTATTGTCTGGGCCAAAGTGAGAGGTAGGGGAACATGCAGGTTGCAATGGTGAAAAGGACAAGCAACTCCATGGGGCATTTTTCAGGGGGCCCTTGCTGGGGTGGGGGCCCCCAGTAGGTGCCCAACCATGCTTCCCCTTAATGCAGGCCCTTTCAAGTCAGACCATCTATACATCTAGCTCAGTACGCTCTATACCAGCGGTGTAGACCTGGGGCCCAAGCCTGGCCTTCCAGGGGTCCTTCAAGGCTCCCCATGCTCCCATTCCCCTGCTCCCACCCCCTGTTCACTGAACACCAATCTTCTGGTTGTTTCCTGGCCTTTGCGCAGTGTTTTCTCTGCTCTAAAAAGGGGAGTGCCTCTCCTAAAGTGCAATGCCTGGCACTAAGAGCTGTAAACATGGTATTTTTGGCCCACACCCACCCCTGGAATGCAGCCCCTGAGAGCTTCTCCAAAGCGAATTTCTTCCTTTGGATGAAAGAGTTTCAAAAAACCCTGACTGAAACTAATGAACAGTTCCTCTCCAAGGTTTCTCACAAGCTCTTCTCAGATCCTGGGACACCAAAGATAGAACCTGAGTCCTTTGGCATGGGACGCATGGGTCTTCTCATGATCTACCAGGCTTCCATCTGCTGCTAATCAATCCAGACTTGATTGAATTTAGTGAATACACACGACGGGAAACTGGCTACAGAATAGGCCTACTGGGGGGCTGCCCATGCCTAACAATCCAGGTGGTATAGAAATAAAGATAAACAAGGAACAATTTTCTGTACTTGTCCATTTGTAATGTATTTCCTAAGGCCCATGTTGTGCCACCAAAGATGGAGCAGAACTTAGGTAGCTTCATAAAAACTTACCTGTAGAGGCTGTGTTTACATTGTTGCCAACACCAAGAGTAGCTGGGGCCAGGTTGTTTTGAACCCCAAATACTGCAGAGAAAAAATTCCTGGGATAAGGAGCAAGTTTATGAAAGCAACACAGCCAGTGACCCTTCTCCACTTTGGGAAGTATGGTGTAAAATTAATAATCTCTAGACACTGAAAACCTCCCCAGCATCCTAGCACTACAGCCTATTAACTAAACTGGCTCACCATATGTTCGCTTAAGTATATGTTTTGTATGCTTTTTAATTACTCTCTCACAAGTGCATGAATGTTTGTAATATCTCAAGCTGGAATCAGTTCATATTAAGGAGAAATATCTTGAGAGTTATTAGTGGAGTTCTAAGGTTAAAGAGGGTGAATTTTTGACTTCTTGATGTCCTGACTGTGTTTCTAGGATAATTGCTCATACATTACAACAGAGCAAGATCAAGCTTTGGTATCCTGGCTTAGGTGAAGGGTGACCTTTCTGCCAGCCGGGCTCTGAAGAGCCTTTGCAAAGCAGGGGAATAACCCCTGTCTTGTAGGGTCGTTCAAGCTTGGACAACAGGATGGTAGAATTTTCCCAGTCTTGTCCTGGCTAGAAGAAAAGTGGGGAAATTTCCAGCACTGGTGCCCAGTCTTATGGCTCCCCTGCAACACCTTGCTGCAGGCAGGCCCAACTCATATTGATATAGTGTTTCTATCAGTTTCTATCAGTTTCTATCAGTTTCCTAATTTAAGGCCTTGGGAAGACTATGTTGTCAAACTGCGGCTCAGAGACAGATCTGCCCACCTCGAAAATGCGATACCTGCAGGGGTGCCTCACCCAGCACAATCTACCCAGACACTATAATCAACACCCAAGTCCTTCTTTGGTGCCAACTCTGTGAGGCTACTTCAAAGGCCTTTCTTACTGACAGCGCTTCAATGGTGGAATCCTTTCCCCACTGAAGCCTGCCTGGTCCCAGGTTAAAAAGGCCCTCTGTGTTGAGGCCTTTAAAAACATGCAAGGATGTCTAAGAGCATGAGGAGAGTACCCATCCCACGTGTTTTACAAATCTAACCTGTACTGTATGTTGTTTTAGGTATTTGTCATTCATTTTCAAATTTTGTGTTTCAAATTTTATGGTGCTGTATTGCATTGTGTTTTGCTGCTGTAAACTGCCCAGATCTAGAAATGTATAGACGTGACATAAATCAACATCATATTAAACAAAAAAATAAACCATCCTTTTCTCTATGGGTGCAGAACCCACTGAACATATACTTCTGTATTTGCAAAGGCAGATTTCAAGGAATCCCACTGGAAGAAACTGAATTTCTCTATGTGTAACTGCTCTCTGATAGCAATCAATTCCAGTCCTTTCCCTTGAATGCTGCTTGGAAAGGAGGGGAAACATACCTGTAGAAGAAGTACTGAGACCAGCATTGAGACTGGGGTTGCTGGGTGCCAAGTTGTTTGTAACTCCGAACACTGTACAAGAAGATATAAGAAAAGGAATAATGTTGGCAACATAGAAAAGAAGGAAACGTTGTAATATATCTGGGCACAGCTATAGCTTCCTGTAGCTGACTGATCAGTAAAGACCAGAAAAGACACAAAGATAATGAAATGAGCTGCAATACCTCCCCTTTCACACTAACACCACAAGCAGTTGTTTATTTGGTCACTTCACAACTTGTCTCTTGCTGTTATTCCATGCACTTTGTGGCACTGATGCTATTCAAAGTAAGGCGAACATTTCCCACACTGATTTCTCTTCAGTCAGTTGGGTTACACAGTAGAGAAAAATGTACCCTATAGCTCATCCCAGCTATCATCCTGAAACTCCAAGATAACTTCAACACCACTCAGGAAATTTGCCTTGGGGGAAAATTCCTTCCCGGGGTGATCAGCTAGAGCTTGAGGAAGCAACTTGGGAAACTAATATGCACACATCTCCTTCTGCTTAGCACATAAATGACTTCTTGTATCAATAATTACAAGCACAACCACTCATTCCATGATTCCATGATGCTGCCTCTACACAGCATCACTCAACAGGTGCAATCACTAAGGATACAAAGGAGAAGAGGAGGACCTTGTGAGCTGCCTTGGATTCCTTGCAAGAAGAAAAAAGTGGGATATAGATGCAACAACGACATAAATAATCCTAAGCCTGCTTAGGCAGAAAGGAGCCCTACAGCTGATATCTCTAACTGGGGAATGCTGGCATTTGTATGCACGTGTTCCCTCTCATCACACATGCAGTGGCACCTTAGGGCAAACCTGTGGGCATTTAGTCCAAATGACACAGGGCCCTGTGAGGCTGCTGCAGTGAACACGCACCTGATCCAGTAGAGTGGGCTGCTGTGTTGATCAAAGATGAACTTTGGGTCATGTTGTTGTGGTAGCCGCCGAGAGATGACCCTGCAGGCAGGGTGGAGGACCACATGTACGGTGGGAGGGCAGCATTCAAGATGGTTGTGTCGTACGTCCCTGACACTGGGGCAAAATCAGAGAGCAACATCCATCATCAAAAGGTTAAGATTTTTTAATAATTGGAACAGTCTTCTCCAACCCAGTGCCCTCCAGGTACAAATTTTACCTTCCCCCAGTGAACATGGCTGTTGGTAATGTTGGTTAGGGATGATTGCAAATATAATCTGACCTTTCTGGTAGGCACTGAATTAGAGGACACCTTTTCTTTCTTTCCTCTCACCTGAACCACACAGAATAAAATTAGGACACATGTGATGTGCCTTTAATCACCACCAACAACTATTTCTAGTCCTCATAGTTATGGAGAAAAGCCTGAATGTGTGTTGGAAAGAGAGATGGCAGAAGGAGGATTGAGAGTTATGGCTAGCTCTCTGGGTGTTAGATTCACAATTGTCCAACAATACTATTCAATAAAAACTCCCTCCTCCCCAAAAAGAAAAAAAAAAAGAATTACACTGTTGAAGAAAAAAATGCCCAGGGAAAACCAAGGGTGCATTTTTGTGTGAGGAAGACTCAGGCAAGACTGGTCCAAAACTCTTGTACTTTTTAAAGACTGAAACTGTTGTGTTTCACCCCACCTTTTGTATACTAAAAGAATCCAGGGATCAGCATTGATCCTCTCTGCAATCTTGTTTTGTTCCAGAAAGAACAAACTGCATTTGTAGTCTCTGCTACTTTCTACATTCTTCTGTGACCTCATAGACTAGAAATATGGTAGACTCCCCAGTGTCTCAGGTGCTTCTACAGCAGGATCTGAGCAATGTCTGATGATTTGGGCACTACATTGCCCCCTGAACCCGCCCACACCACTGGTCCCAAAATTGCTGTGCCACCCTGAACACCTGCAAAACCATTTTTAAAGCAGAGAGCGTGTTGAACATACAGCTTGTTTTAAAGGCAAGGCACACTTTCAGAAAACTTGGAAGGATTTGCTTTGCCCTTAAAAGAAGGAACACAACCATTTAATGTGTTTTGTGGTTGGGGCCCCTCATGTTGAGCACCTCTATAGACTTCAGGCAATGAGGTACCTGACTGAGTGCTCTCTGTCACCATCTTGGTTTCCACAACAGCTTTCTTAGGTATAGGGAGAGTGTTGGATGAAGACCGTGTTGGGCTGGCACTAGCAGACCGACTTCCTCGAAGCAGTCGCTTAACATCATCTAGTTCTGTCCCTGAAAAAGAAAAGGGACATGGGGGAACTGAAGTCCAAAAACAATTTCCAAATGCAAACTGTGGCTGAAAGGACTAGAAAATGCCCCTCGAAAACTTCACATGAAAAAGTCCATTGCAAAACTTGGAGAAATGCAGATATTGAAGGTTAACTGAGTTTTGGTTCACATCATTGCTTGAAAGTGCAAAATCAGGCACATTTATTTACTTAGCATAACATTATTTCTTTACATCATAACATCTTACATAGTAAGATTTATCAGTTTTATATTTATATAAAATATTTATATCTTTACATCAGATTATCATTTATATCTTTACATCAGATGTATATTTTTACATCATAAAAAAATTGATGCATCTGATCAGAATGGAGAACTCTGTCAATCACAGTGGGGTTTTTTCCATTTCTAATTTTTCCAAATTTTAATTCAATTCCTCTCTTACTTTGAATTGAAAAAAGCTTGCATAAAAAGTTTTGAGTATTTTGTGTGCATTTTTTAATATACACTTTCCAAGCAATTTTTCTAATATCATGATTTTTAATGTTATTTTCACTAATACTTTTGTGCACTTTTTAACTGGAAAACTCCATGGCAAAATTTGGAGAAGTGTAACTTTTCATGGTTAGCTATGTTTCAGTCTACACTGTGGTTTGAAGGTGCGAAATCAGGTAAATTCACATTAAAATGTGAACTGAACAAAATTCCTCTCTTGTGTGTAACGTAGCATAAACAATGCTGAGAAGCAGAAGCCTTCTTACAGTTTTGGCTGTTCCATTTCCAAACTAGATGTGCTTCCAGGAGATGGCTTCAAGCACTGCCCAACAAAGGACATTGTGTAGCTATTCTATTTTCTCCTTCCTCACTCAATTTTGTGGGCTCAAGATGGACAAAACAATTGAAATAGAAGGATTATGAATTACAGACATTATTTGGATTCCCCATAAATTCTACAAATGAGGCCCAAAAAAGACAATACTTTAAAACCACATCTAGGAGCTATACCTTTTCAAATATTTCACTCCAGTGTAGGCACAGTGCACCCAATCCAGACCTTAAAAAATCACTCCAAGGTCTCAATCTAGATTGAGGCCCCACATCTATGAAAAAGATGCAAGATATTGATTTAAAATAATACTTGTTTTGGCCCTCATCAGACTGGGCAAGTGTACAACAAAAGTTTTACCTGGAAGCATTCCACAACTTTTTCTCCAACTCAGTGCAAACCACATGCCATTTAGAAGTTGGATTATAGTGATCTCCATTTCTACCCATGTTTGTGTTTTTCCATCTAGTTACTAGCTCATAGTTTAGGAAAACATTTTATGACATCAGGAAAAATTACTACAAAACGGTCAGATGAAGAGGTAACTGCTGAACTCATGGTTTATTCATCTGTAAGGTTTAGCTGCCTTTGCTCAAATGCACAAAACACAGTGAAAACACGTACACCTGGTTGATGGAGAAGCACTCTGCAGCCTCACTCGGATTTCACTCTCTGCAAGACAAAAGGAAGCAAAGGCTTACTGTAAAGTGCAAGATGCATTCACAACTTGATGCCCTGGACATGCCTTAACTGAGGAAGATGTATTGCTCTTAGCTGGTACCTTGACTTGAGGTTTGTTTTTTTGCTAGCATTCAGGTATACCAAATTGTGATGGAGACAGCATAAATCATTGCTACTTTGAGATGGCTTGCTAAATTGTCTGCTTTAATGATTTACTCCAATGGTGTCAGAGGCCTTTATAAAATTGGACTGTGCTTACAGTCCTAGTCCTCCTATCCATTCTATTCTTCTTTCTGCATCATGGGAATAGAGGAAGTTTCATTCTACCAAGTGAGAGGATTGGTCTATCAAGCCCAGTATTGGCAACACTGACTGACCACTGCTTTCCAGGGTTCCAAAGAGTTCTTCCTGTCTTCCAGTCTGAAGCTGCTGGGGATTGAATCTGGGATCTTCTGCATTCAAGATTTGTGCTTTCCCACTGAGTCATCACCCCTTCTTACTGCTTATCTTTCACATCTGAGCCATCCCCTGGGAACCAGTAAGTGTACCTCTTGGGAGGTGAATGTTCAGGGTTGGCCCAGCTGAACAAACAACCCAAGCAGTTGCCTCGGCCAAGAATATTTTAGTAAGGATAAATGAATTTCCTCCATTACTGCGTTCCATGGTTTTACACTGCACTTTGTTCTCTACCTGCCTTGGAGAATGTATAAAAGTAATTTTGGAATTGACACACACTCAGTTTGCTGTATTTTTTTCCTTAAAAGTTTACCAGTGTATGCCAGCGCATATGCACATCAGTACTGGCATACACTGAGTAAATCATACAATTTTCTCATGATACATTTTTGGACTGTGGTTTGATCAATGCACATGGGCCATTGTTGTGTTGTTGAACCACAGGATAATATGGAGGTACAAGGTGATTCAAAGATCACCGAAACTCCAAATGTTATAAATAAGAAAAACTTGATTTTGCCTGAAATAACCAGCAGCAATCGAGGTAGCTAAGATCATAAGATCCAAGATCTTAGAAGCCAAACCAGCAGAGAGATGTTGGAGATTGATGTGTGTTCCTTATTATTACAGGACTTTTTCTCTCCATGCCATTATCTCCATATAAATAACTGCCTCTCACAACGTGATTGCCCTCATGGGAAACCTTATGACTGCTTCAAAAAAGCAGAGTGAGAGCAGGGAAGAAATCTTATCACAAATCCCCAGTGTCTTGTCTAGTTGCCTTTAAATCCATGTGCCAAAAATGGGCTTTGCACATGAGCTTTCAAAATAGCAACCTGCAATAACTCATAGCAGCTCCTTAAAACAAAACAAAACAAAACAACCCAAGCACCTTCTCAAAAGGAGCTTGTGAATCATCATGGAGTTTCCATTCCAACAAACAAACAAACAAACAAACCCCACTTGACATGCCCACATACCCTTCGCCATGACTTCTAAATAAACCCATGAAATACCTGCAAAATGCTCACATTCAACCTTACCTCGGGTTTGGCTTCTCCCCCTGGTAGCAGAGGAACCTGTGCAAAATAAAAGAAATATTACTTGACATTTGATTTGACTGAAAAATAAAGTGAAGTTCTCCAAATCTGCAGTAATATTGCTTGCTAAGGACAGCTCCTGGCACTTTCAGTGAAAAGGTGTACAGCTATTGCATCTTTCCCTCCTTTAATGGATTTTTTGAAGTAAGAAAAAAGTAGGAAGATGTGGTAGAAAAAAAATGGAAGGTTAGAAAAGGAAGCTAATGACTGTGTCTGCAACCTGCAGTGAAGTTTTGTGATCGCACAATGAAAACCTTATTATCTTCTTATATATGTATATTCAAGGATACATATGCATAGTTCACCTTAGATTTCCAGCAAGGGCTTCTAGAAATTGGCCACTGACCTTAATTTTGGTTTTCAAAACTATTTAATTGTAAAATAAAAGTGGTCACACTCTAACTCTATACAGTCTTTTGAAATGGTTTTGTGGTAAATGTGATAAATTCATGTTGGATACTTCTCAGCATTTTTTTAAATAGAGTTCATTCAAATTTTATTTGTGAAGTTACATCCAAGTGGTTCAGCACAAGCTGCTTGACTTTGTGTTGAGTTGAGTCTGGGCATACTGTGTCTTTCCCTTAGACAAGAATGCAACCTGCCAAGTATATAGAAGATACTCAATACTTTGGCAGGTTATATCTTGTCTAAGGGAAAAGACAAGCTTTCCTGAGTAAGGAAAGCTTACCCTAAGCTGACACCCACCAGAAATACATGCCATGTTTCTATTCAAAGGCATTCTTTCAGAAGTAATTATTAGCAAGGGTGTACCCTCAAACTGCAGTTTCAAATTAGGAACAATGATCTGTTTTGTTGTACTGGTGGAATGTTGCCAAGAGAAGTTGGAATGTTGTATTCATGGAGTCTTCACATGCAAAATAGCAGATGGTGTGAGTGGAATTTATTTAGGTATGCTCGCCAGAAGTATTTTTATGAACAGTTGGGTTCAGTGGTGTTGCCTTCACCTTAGTCATCTTCCATTACTTTAACCCCCTATTTTCCCTCTCTGGTGGGGGTCAGGGAAGCTAAGATAGCCTATTCTGCCCATTACTTTTCCTGTGCATTATCATCCATTCAATACGAATAGTGAAATGCCTATGACACCAGACATAAGAGGTTGAGATGTGATTGTACCAAAACTTCAGGACTTCGCTTTCTTTTTTTTCCTTCTGTGCTTTCCTCCCTCATGTAGTAAGGAAGAATTAAAAGCCAAGCAGACGCTCCAAAAGCATCAGAAGTTTGGTACTTCCAATGATATGGATGAGACTTATTTAGACCACTGAGCTTCCGTTCTCTCACACACCTCCCCTTGTCTGAGGACCTGATCCTCAAGAATTTCACACCACACTAGTACAGCTGGGAATAGGAAGCAACACCAGCATTTCTACAACTCTGTGGTAAATAGTTTCTAGATTTACTTTGGGCTTTCTGGTTCTACCATTAAGAAGAAAGAGGCCGCTGCTTCAGGCAGATGATTTTGAGTGCCATGAAAGGGCAACACATTGATGGTTATTTCATTTATTGCTATTGTATTCCATTGACAGATACTCTGGGATACTCTGCTCATGTGCCAAAGCAATGTAAGTCACTCCTTGCTTTGGTGGGGGTCTCATTTCCTGCTCCAACTCAGGTGGCAAAATGTCTTGAACAAGCCCAGGGATGGGACTGAAACACCCACCTTGAAACATGGGATGAATGGAGAGGAGTTGTGCCCATGCAGGATTTTTGCAGATGAGGCACCTCTGCTTTAGACGCTAATATGACAGTTTTGCATCCCTACTCCTTATCCACTAAAGCAACTAGAAAAGCATTTAAAAAATTAAAAGGTTCCTGCATCGTAATGAAACATGACACTTAAGTATGCAGATCTATGTCATGGGCATAATTTATTCTAGTGGAAGAAAAGGGTGATTCTTGACATTTAATAGGCACATACCCTTAAGCTGGCCTTCAAGTAATAATAGAAACATACCAAAATCTTTTCTTGGAATCTCCGGAGATGAATTTGCACTGGAGCTCCCTGCAGAAGAAAGAGAAGATTTCATTTGAAAATTTTACTACATTTTTATCTGGAAAGAGATAGTCCAATATACTGTATCAGAATCATACCACACCACGGCATTTGGTGCTTCATTTTAGATGCAAATTGTGCCTCAAGTGCATATGAAGAAGTATTGATCAAAATCCAAAAGTGATCAAAAGTGGGAAATCAGTTATCTCATACCATAATTCCAAATGGCTGGAAAGATCATAAATGCATGAATCAGCACCCTTTTCTATAATTTTTTGGTTCTGTATGAGTACAAGAAGCCATTGCAAAAACAGATGGGCCTCGAACAGCTGGGATCTAGGTACTGCAATGGGCACGTACACACTGGGAGGTTCCTAGGACAGTTGGAATGATCAGCCAGTATAATGCTAACTCCATATTTCCTTGATACTCTGATACCTTCATATGTTGCATGGTGGGTGGCATAGGTTTTTCGTTCAAAGGTTGAGCCAGGTGATTTGGGAAGAGTAGAACAAGGAGAGGTGGCTTGCTTGTAGGAGGAAGAGGAATTCATTCTAGCATTTCCACCTATAGATGAAACAAAACCTCCTCAGATATATGTAAAATGGACTGGACTGTTGGGAAGGACAGAGTTTTGCTTTAATTGCTTGACCACAAAAGGCCCACAGATAAGCCATAAAGTCTAACTCTGTCTTGAAGACATGGACTGAGTCTGCTAAGTCCAGAAGGACGACCTTAGACATCTGTCACTGAAGTGACCATTTTTTGCCAGCAGTAGATCTGGAGACAGTGGTCTCATCCTCAAAGGTGGGAGAGGTCCAAAGTTTGTTGAATTGGTATTTATATTTTGGCTCATATATACAGTAAGTATAACCAGCAAAATATTGAATACAATATTCCAGTCAAAATATCTGAAAATACTTATAAGCCCTTAGTCAAAATGATCTCTGACAAGACAATTTAAGATGGCAAACATGTTGTCAAGCCACTTTAGTCCCAGTGGCTCCCTTGGAATGAAATCAGTTTATATGCAAGCATCATAGCCTGCGGATTCCATATTAACACAAAAACAAGATAATCCTGAGTAGTTAAATGTAAGCTTTTTGATTGTTTGTTTCTGTCAATTTAAAATGTAATATATAGCCTTCTTTCCAATAGGAGTACATCTCACAAAACTCAATGAGACTTGTCTGAAAATGTGAATAGGATCAGGCAGTTGGACAGCTAATTTTTTTTCATAGAGATACCTTTCTCCTTCTCTTTCTTGGGACTTTTAGTGCTCTCCCATCCAGGAGTTGGATTGGGTTTACACTTTCTTAGCTTCACTGTAGTAGCCCAAAGCAACTCATACATTCTATCCACCACTCTAGTCTTAAAAAGAAGGGAAAGCTACTAAGAATAATCACCATTTTGATAGACGAAAATAACAACTGGAAATAGCCAAAAAACACATCATCTGGGTCTTCAGCCATTCTTTTATGGGGACCACTGCCTATTTGCGCCCACTGCTTCAATAGTCTCTGCTGTCTCATGGGCTGGTGAGAAATTCAGGTTGCAAGGAGACTGAATGGGCAATGGCTCACTTCTGCTTCAGTGTTCGAGACACAGCAAAACACAAACCATGTTTGAAATAATGTGGTTAATAGGTGGTTTTCTGAAAGAACTGGCCAATATATAATTTTCTGCCTTTGGATTTTTGTCAGAGCTCCAAACAGAAGTCTGGCTGTGATCTAATAAGCTTCAGTCATAGGAATAATCCGTGGATGCCAGCCTCCGATTTATGAAAAGAGAATGTGCTCTTTGTAATCTCAGCAGAGGGCTATTCTAGTACACTTGCCTGTGGTTCTGAGGCTGATATCATTGTTCAGTGGCTTTCCCATTAAACTGTTCTGAGAACAGTGGACTTTTGTCAGGAAACTTTTGCTTCCTTCACCATCCCCAATTTTAAAGCTGACTGGCCAAGCATAGAATTAGACAAACTGAAGAAGCTCCAGCTCTTTTAATGCTGCTGCAAGTTTTGTGCATTCAGAGAGCAATCCTGTGACCCCTGGGCTAGCAACCCTGGACCACAGGATTGTTTGGATTCTTTTTTCAGAATCTGGCTGCAACTTCACAGGGGGAAGGGAGGTGTTGTTCTGGTGGGGAGGAGACTGGAGAAGCCTGGATATAAGTTATTCTGAGCCTCCAACCCTCTCCTTCCAAAACACCCTAGCTAACTAAGCGAAGAAGCCTGCCTAGCGGAATCTGCCATTTCTTCAGCCGTGTCCTGGAAGACTGGACACTTCCAGAGTATCTGGCCTTAGAAGAACTTTGCAGGCAGAAGGTTTGATGATGTTCCTTGACATCGTGTGGGGTTTGCTTTGTGTAGGCTACATCATAAAGTAAATATAAAAAAGACTTGTTCACACTGCACATAAAACAGTATGGATTTGCTACTGCACGAGGCAGTGATGGCTACTAATCTGGACGGATGTGAAAGGGGATGGAGAAAATCAAGGAAGACGGCCATCCGTGGCTGCTACGCAATGGGTGGGTTCCTGTGAGCACCCAAGTCCACCAGATGTTGTTTGAGCACGGTGGGCTGCAGGGCATGCCGGGGGCTATTGTGAAAATTCGAGCCGCAGCAGGCAGTCTCTTCGGCTTATCATGCTGTCCAAATCCAGTGAGGTGGATTGTTGGCATGGTTACTAAAGCTCCCAGGATTCACGGGCTGTTCTAAAGTTGTGGCTTAGTTAATCATGCCAACAACCCACCTTACCAAGTTCAGATGTCACAATAAGCCACCGCATTCCCCTCGCCACAAGCCACAAGGAGTTTTGAAGACTGGGCAGCCTCTGGTCATGATCGAATGGTAAACTGATTTGTGACCCACGTGGCCTCCTTTCTTCCCAGCTTCCTTACCGTTCCTCATTTATGCCTCCTCAGCTTGAGAACTACTTACTCGCTGTGACATAACTGCTGCCATGTGCGTATGTCCTCTTTTCCACTCCGCTCCCTCCGCTATAAGCTGTTGATTTCAGCCCACTGCTACCTCCTCCTTCTGTCAGAGAAAAGACAAAATGAGAGTCTACAAATGAGAAAAGGCAGAGAAAAAGACATTCCAACAGAAGGAGGTATTCCAACAGGTTCATTTAGCATTGTAATTCTCCTGTATTTGACTGTTTTGGGAAGATGTTGCCACAAACATAGCATATAATGGCTAGAACAGCATCTGCTCATGGAAAGGCTCGCCACTCAGTAAGTCTTAAACTGACCAGATGGAGACCTCGCCCCCCCCCCCGCCCCAAACACACATACCTAGTTAAAGTTGTAAAGCTGGGGTTAGTCTGGGGTTAGTCCTGAGACTTTTTGTCAACCGTCCTGAAACTTTTTGTAATAGGACGGGATAGAGAAGTTTTAGATAGTAGATAGTTGGAATGACCTTTCATGGGTCCTTATAGCCCACTGCCTGTGATGCAAAGAGATTCAGGATGCCATCCAACCACACAATCTTTGACTCTAAGGGTAGTATCTAATGTGACACCTCTAGCACAATGCCAATAAGTTCTTCCTGGCGCAAAAGGCATTCTTATGCTAGTACAGCATGCTTTACATTAGTGGTACTGTCAGTATGGATACTGCCCCAAGATTTTTGTAAGTAGATTGATCTGTGTGGGTGCCTTGAGGTAATATCTCTTAAGTTCTCTTCAGGTCTGAGCTGCTGACATCCTGATGTTGCATTTCAGTAGGCCCTAGTTGGTTGAGGAAGGTATAGGGGATGGGTAGAGATGACTCGTTCTCTAGCAGAGAAGGGAAGAGATAGCAAGTGAGGTCTGTTTGTGTAGCAGGAGGTCCATCTATGTCAGACGTGGGTCTGAAAATGAAATAGGGAACTGACTTTGCATTCTGTATGAGCTCCTATAGCACTCTGGGTTCCTCTAGACATTTGATGAGTTTGATTATTAGAGTGCTAATGCTATGAATTCTTGCTCAGCCTCTACATTTGTGTAAATATTTTTTTTTCCTCTGGAATATCATAAGTCTCATCCTTCATATCCCAGGAACATTTCCTTCTAAGGAAACCAAATCCAGGGTAAGTGCAAGAATTTTGAAACTTCTTGCTACTAGGAAGGAGGATGCTGGTGCATCACGATGTTTTCAACACTGCATTAATACTAGAAATTAGGAAGAGTTTATATAATGAACATTCATCTCAAATAAGAAATGGGTGCAATCTGGCATTGGAAAGAGAGTGAGATGCAGTTCAGAAGAGTCGATACAGTGACTCTAGATGCCAAAGCCAACCATGTGGGTCAACACTATCCCAGCCAGGTCTTGCCAAGCTGGACATGTGAAAGGAGATTGCACCCCAAAAGCTAAGGAAACTTAGCATTCTTCTTTGGGGGGAGGCTGAGGATTGACACTGTGAAGGAAGGATGGGAGAAGGAGAGTGGTTTACTGAAAAAAACCCAACACTATTCTCACCGTGTCCCATGGCTCAGAATAATATATGGAACTGGATCTTGAGCCAAATATTATTTCATTCATCCATTTATTTGGGATATTTCTAGGCCATCCAATCACATTGAGACTCTGGACAGCTCACAGTTTTAAGCCAGGTCAACTGCTATGAACTCATAGACACTTTATAGGAGTGCTATGAACGCACATGCATAGAGGGAGTCATAAAGAGCCTTGGTGATGTGGATTTGTGCCCTTCCTGTTACTCACAAAGGATTGCATAAAACAGTGGAAAGCAACATGCTGTTTCCACCCACATTTCGATCTGTGAGCCTGGGGGAAGAAAGGCATACAGATTTGTAGAAAGAGGCACAAATAGAGCAAAACAATTGGCTTGCATGCAGTCAAACACATACATGCACACACACAAAGAGCAAATTTTGTATATCAGCCCTTACTTGGAGGAAGAGACGTCAGCCTGGTGGTAACAGTTTCTGTAATAACTGAAATGAAGTAAAATAAGATTAAAATAAAATAAAATAAAATGGAAAATATTAGCAAATGAAGGAGTAATTTACCAGGAGGTTCTCCAGCTCAAACTCTATTGAGATGAAGAGGGTTCATTAAGGGTGCAATCTTACACATATTTAGACCAAAAAAGAAATAAATGGCTACCTGATGAATGCTGGGATCTGTAACACTTTTTTCTGTTTAAATGTGCATAGGATTGTGCTTTAAACAGTTACAAAATGACCATTCCTATGATGAACCGAGAACCAACATGGAGGATTGAAAATGCCTTGGTATATTCACATCTGTTGCTATGACCTTGTCAGTAATTCAGGAAAGTGCTGAAATCTCAATTTTGCAACTGGGATATTTATTTAGTCACAGTAAGGTATTATTTCTAAGGATATATTATTCAGCAGGACCAGTTGCTTGAGTCACTGTCACATTAATAGGCAAAACGATTTCTGAGGCTGGCTACCCTTTCCTCCTGAGTATTCCCATTGCATTAAGCTCCCATTGTCCTTTTTTGCATTAAGTCAGATTAACAAACGAACATTTGCAATTCCTATAAAGACGTCCATTTTGGAAGGAATTCCATTTGGTTACTGGGAGTTTCCATTTGGCCCCACAAATGCTTTTTTTGGAAGTAGGTGAATCAACTCAAGAGGCCCTTTAGGCAGTAAATTTGGGCAGTAAAAGGGTCTCTACATGAGATAATTAACTTCATGAAAAATGCGTGAAATCAAGCATAATATGGGTTACAGAAAAGTGTAGAAGGAGGTTTTGGAAGACTGCATAACCATCTGTCTACTGAGAGGAAAATTGGCTGTATGCTAACTTTTACCTTAATAATGGTTAAGGGAAACCCCAGGCATTCCTAGAAAAGGCTGCACTTACATCTCTCAGTGACTTCTGCTCCATCCCGCTGATTTTTCTTCGTTACAGCGTCCATATCATCGCTACCTCAAGGGGAAGAGAAAGAGGAAAGGTGAACATGCCACTGGCCCAGGGCTCCCACTCTCTGCCACAGAGGCTCCTGACCTGTTCCTCTCTCAGAACTGATGCTCATCAGCCCATAGCCCACCACTGCCAGCTTCATCAGTGCTGAATTGGAACACGTGAGAATATAAAGATGATAATGTGAACTGCAAAATCAATGTGCTTTTGTTTTTTTAAAAAATAAAAGCATCCCTTTAGAATGCTCCAATCTGTCCAGGGTGCAGGATTTTTTTTAAAAAATCCAAAGTTGGCAATGCTTCCAATGAAGTTTTAGGCCAGGGACTTGGGAGGAGGTCTTAAGGTCAAATAAGCCTGGGAGAAGCACAGTTTGATGGCCTTCAAAGAAAGTGCTACTTTAGAGCACAATACCGTGCAAGTTTAGACAGATAAAGACCTCTGTGCCTCCAGAATGTTGTGACTTTTTCCATCTAAATATGCACAGCAGTGTGTCTTTAGCTTGTGAAGAAACAGTGCCATCTAGTAGTAGTTTTGGGATAGTTAGCCAGAGCTTATTCTGATTCAGTTTTTAGCTGTATTGTTCATTTAAAAAGCCTTTAGAGGGCAATTCTATGAGAGGTCAGTCAGAAAAAAATGCCTACAGTCCCTAATTCCCTTACAGGAGGAAGAGAATTCTGCAAACCACTTTGAGTTCATTATAAGAAAAAAGTTGGATAGAAAATAAATAACTAAATAGGTCTTCTTCTTCTGTCTAAACTTGCATAAGGATTATGCCCTAAAATGTAGAAAGTGCATATAAAGTAAAAAATGTAAGTTAGTTTGTCCCAATAAATGACAAGGGCTTGCTAGGCTCAGAAAAGAATGTAGGAAGGTATACATTCTGCCAAAGATTAACCAAAAAAAGAAGTAACCGGTGGGCAAATAATGGGAGAGGGGGAAGTAGATTTTGATTAAATGTGATTTGTCCTGGCATGTGCAAGGAGAGTGGTGGTCATATAGGAAATGCATGGATCCTGTCCTTAATGCTGGTGGTGCGCACTTATGAGCATTCTTCAGCGGAGAGCAAATTGGCTTTTGGGAGGTAAATAACTTTGCACCTATGAGCATTATCCTGAGGAGGTAAATAACTTTTCAGGGAAGAACATCTATCACAACCACTATCACCTGTCCCTAAGCTTTCGCCAATAAAAGGAAGCGATTTTGGATAAAGAAAATCTGCCAGTACAGTAGCTCATGGGTACACATTGAACTTCTAACAAATTCCGATAGCAAATCAGATGGGTGCTCTCTAGGCAACACTCAATCCTTTTATGTTCTATTAATTTCAGTGGGAATAATTCAAGTACATCTTTAACTCTCTGAATAAAATCAACAGAGTTTAAAGGCACCTTTTGGTTTATTTCACATGTGCACATGATCTTACCATTCTTAATCAGAGATGTAAAATTCTA